CCGGATGTCTCCACTGCCTCAGGGATGGTCTAGGCCACCCCTGCCTCTGAGCCTTTGCTCAGTGAGAGTGTGTGGGGTCCCTACATTGCCCAGAGAACCTCAGCTCCCTCCAACAAAGAAGCTGACATCATTGTCACCAAAAGCTTCCTATCCTGTGTTTTGACCTCAGTTCAATGAATTGCTCAACAGAAGAAAATCTGCATTGAGCAAGGGATGTGAAGGGAAGTTCCCCCCTCCCCCAGCCCCAGCTGCTTACCTCATGCAGTACTCCATACAAAAACCTGTCCTCTGACCAGACCCAGAGGGAAAAGGGGTCACTAGGAGAATTACAGGCACCTGGCCTGAATACCCTGGGCTTGGTTGGGTCCCAGTGTCATAGTCCATCTGTGTGTCTCCCTTCCCACCCCCACCCCATCAGAGCTGAGTGCTTCTGCATAGTTTTCTGCTAGGGAAGGGAAGGTCAGAGCTGTGGTCAGAACAAGACCCCTGTCAGCTTCTCTAGGCTCCCAGGCCCCTCTCTCACTCTAGTGGGCCCAGAAACATGCATGCCCACTAAAGCCTCAAGTGGGGACCTGTGTCTTGCAGGTGTATGTGTCTGAGATTGCACCCCCTGGTGTTCGTGGGGCCCTGGGTGCCACACCGCAGCTCATGGCCGTGTTTGGATCCCTGTCTCTCTATGCCCTCGGCAAGTACCATCCTGCAATCCAGCATGCAGGTTCTGGAGATTAAGGGTTTGGGGGAATGGAATTCTTCCTGAAGAAACCCAGCAATGATAGGCAGGACACTTGGCTTCCTAGCCTCCATGGGTATCACATCTCTGAGCAGTGAAGCCTGTCCAGCAGGAGCCTCAAACCACCTCCCCACAGCACTAAGACTGTCTAGTATCCTGTTAGTCCATGAGAGAAACCCATACAGGAGCTTGCCTGCCTGGATGACGGGGGGGGGGGGGGGGGGGGGGGGGGGGGGGGAGTGAGAGCCCCGTGCCCAGCCTGCTCTACAGTCTCCCATTATACTGAGACCATTTAAGAATATCACTCTAGTACCAGGGTCCAGGCAATCCCTGCAGCATCCCCATTGCCTCTGTCTTCTACAGAGACTTGGGCAATCAGGGAAGGCTAGGCCGGGAGAGCAGCAAGGTTACTCAGAGGCCCCAGCCCTTCACCAAAGCTTCTCTTACCAGGTCTTTTGCTGCCTTGGAGATGGCTTGCTGTGGCCGGGGAAGGGCCTGTTCTCATCATGATCCTGCTGCTTAGCTTCATGCCCAACTCACCTCGCTTCCTGCTCTCAAAGGGCCGGGATGAGGAGGCGCTGCAGGCGCTGACCTGGCTGCGAGCGGACTCTGAGGTCCACTGGGAGTTTGAGCAGATACAGGACAACGTGCGGAGACAGGTGCAGTATGGGTGGGACTGGCTGATCAGGCCGTGTGGCCTTGGACATTCGCTAGGCCTGTTTGGGCCTTGGTTGCCTTTCCTCAAACAGAGTGGTTCTTGCTAGTGTGCAGAGCCCAGGCAGCCTCCAGAGGCTGGGTCTCTCTTAGAAGAGGGGAGAGGGAGGTCTCCCTTAGACCCACAGGTGCCAAGAGAGGGTGGCCAGGGCTGGAGAGCCTGGCATAGCCCCTCAGCAGCAGCTTTGTGTTCCAGAGTAGCCGAGTGTCGTGGGCAGAGGCCCAGGACCCCCGCATGTACCGGCCTATTCTCATCGCAGTCCTGATGCGCTTCCTGCAGCAGCTGACAGGCATCACACCCATCCTCGTGTACCTGCAGACCATCTTCGACAGCACGTCCGTGGTGCTGGTGAGAACCCACCTGGCCAGCAATGCCCAGGGTCCCAGGAGGCTGCTGAGGAGAACACAAGCAGCCAGGGAGTTAGGTGGCTGAGACCCAGACACCTCTGATTCACAACCCTGCCTCAATTAACATTTCCCTCAAGTGAAGTTTAAATGTTTTAAACTAGACAGAATAACAAAGGAAAACAATTTAATAGAATGTGGAGCTCTTGGGACCATGGCCCCAGGCTCAGATCCCAAGTGGGGCCGGTGAAGTCCCTGAGAGCCCAGTTGCACCCCCCAGGTTCTTCCCGCAATGGGGTTTAAAGATGCGGATGGCTCAGGTCTACCATCAGTGCCCAACAAGGGTCTCTGCCCCCTGGGACTGGTAGCAGGCATAGCAGATAGGCCTGTGCTGGGAAACCCCACAGAAAAGGGTTGGCTGTAGAGAGTGCCCAGGGCTCCGTCCACGTGATGACTCATGGCAAAAAAAGACAGTGACTCTCGACTTAGGTCTGAGGACCCTGAAATGCTTTAGGGTCAGGGCAGGGCACGGGGCCAGGTCTCTCAGCCCAGTGCCCTGCCCCACAGCCCTCCCAGCAGGACGCAGCCATAGTGGGTGCTGTGAGGCTCGTGTCTGTGCTGATCGCTGCTCTCACCATGGACCTGGCGGGCCGGAAAGTCCTGCTCTATGTGTCAGGTGAGTGTCCCCACTGTGATGTGTGCCTTTTACTCCTACAGCCACTGTGTGGACTGGGATCTTCAGGCCATACCCAAGCTTCCCTCGCACATGGTCCAGGACCTAGCGAATGGCAGCTGCTCCAGACAGGTCTGCTAGAGCTCTAGGAGCACAGGAGCCCACCCACCTAGCTCAGCAGTGGCAAGAGAACCTGAGCTTGCCATTCTGTGTTGGGGGTGGGGGCTTGCCCCTTCCACAGGCCAGCCTTGCCACCCAACAAGAGGTGCTGTGGGGCTTGGAAAGGGCCTCGAGCTTGGAGGGTCTCGGTCCTGAGGCGTCCGTGTTTCCACAGCGTCCATCATGTTTGCTGCCAACCTGACACTGGGGCTGTACGTCCAGTGTGGCCCAAGGTCTCTGACCCCCAACGGTACTGTGGGACTGGAGATCATGACCCTGGGGGACACCGAGCAGTCCCCAGCTACATCCTTCAATTATCTTACTCTGATACCCCTGCTGGCCACCATGCTCTTCATTATGGGTAGGAACACCCTGGCAGTGGTGACACCTGGGATGGGCTGTTGGGGGGCGGGGGGAGACAAGGGTTCTATTACTGTCCTGGTTTGCCTAAGAGGTGGGGGAGCTGGAAAATAGGGCCTCCTTACAACCCAGGAGACACAGGCAAGGCAACTTGAGGGTCCCCAGGGCCTGAGCCCAACTGCTCCCCTCTTCTCGGCAGGCTATGCCATGGGCTGGGGGCCCATCACCTGGCTCCTCATGTCTGAGGTCCTGCCCCTGCGTGCCCGTGGTGTTGCCTCGGGGCTGTGCGTGCTGGTCAGCTGGCTCACAGCCTTCGTCCTCACCAAGTACTTCCTGCTGGCAGTGGTGAGTGTTTGGCCCCAGGACTCCCGGCTAGAGTTCTCCATTAGCATCTCCCTTCAGCGTGGAGAAGAGCCCAGGCCCTTTACAGGCTAAGAATGGCCAAGTGATAGCACAGCCAACCAAGGCCATTACAGGAACACACTGGGGGGAGGAGGGATGCTTGGGGAAATCAGGTTACCTCCCAGCCCAAGGATACAACCCAGATCAGCTACATTGTCTCTTGATCTACTGGATGCTAGGCTTCTTCAGTGTAACCTTGCTACCTGACTATAGCATGGTGTGAGGTCCCTCCTAAACACACCTAGCTCCCAGCCCTGCAAGCCAGCAGGCCCTAAAAACACCTGAATGCTGGCTAGCTCCAGACTCTACCAGGGGAATCCAGCTGGGTTAGTGCCAAGCCAGAACCTGCCCTCCCGACTCAGTGATTGAGGTTAAGAGGAGGGCTGACACAACATGCTGCCCACCAGGCGCTATAAGCATCCTGGCGCTCGGGTGTGGTACCTAAGAGAGTGGAGTCTCTGGGCAGGACGGCCGAGGGGCAGCTTGGGAGTAGTCGGGAAGGCTGGGAGGTTTCAGAGCAGAGCAGTGGCCAGATGAAGGCCCCACAGGCTGCCAGTACTGGCTGAGCCCATGGCATTCTGGCTGGGGGCTCTGTGTTTAGTGGCTCCCTCCCCAACTCCCCACTGCAGAATGCCTTCGGCCTCCAGGTGCCTTTCTTCTTCTTCTCCGCCATCTGCCTGCTCAGCCTGCTCTTCACAGGCTGCTGTGTGCCTGAGACCAAAGGCCGCTCACTGGAGCAGATCGAGGCCTTCTTCCACACCCGCAGGATGTCCTTCAGGCCCTAGTCGGGGCTTGCCTGTAAGGGGCCAAACCACCCAGGCCAGGCCTATGCACTGGCCACAGACTCACGCCTGCAACCAGGAGCAGCAGCATCCCTGCCATCAGCCAGAACACATTTCCACCTTGGGACAGGCAGTTCACCAACTCTGGGGCTGGTAGGCCCCAGCTCAGGCAGCCTGGGGTGCTGTAATCCCTCGGCTGAGACTGCAGGGGGCGCAGGCGGCCCAGCCCCACACTGAGCAAAGGCTGTGCCCAAGGACAAGGCTGTCAGGGGACCTGGGGTTTAGTTCCTCACCCCTACAAGGGACACTTCCCATGCAAGGCCATGTTGAGGACAGAGAACAGGGATGGAGGTGGCAAAGTGGCTCTGTACAGGGACATCGTTACAGCATGCTGTTCTGACCAACCGGCCATGAGGACAAGGTCCTGCACCCACATGGGTCTGGGTATCTTGGGGAACACTGGACTTCCCAAGGCCAGAGTACAGGACCCAATCCAACCTTGGGATACCTCTAGTCTGCAAACTGTTCACTGTTTTTCAAAATAAAAGGAATTGGCCTCAGGGAGGAAAGGGGAGTGGGATCTATTCCAGGGAGAAGCTCCCTACCTCAGCGGCCAGGCTACCCTCACACGCAGCCCAGACTGCCAGGGAACTCTGGACGTGATCAGAGTGCAGAGAAAGCAGCAGACACCGTGGGGTTGAATGCCAGCTCACCCTCTACGGATAGGCTACCTTCTCTGAGACCCTGTGAGCAGCTCAGAGGGTTGGCCCAGCTGACAGACAGGTTCCCCTTGCCAGTCACAGGCACTGAAGACAGATGACAGGTAGACTGTGCATACCAACTACAGCCTTGCTTTACTCCAAATGTAAGCTAACTAACAAACACGCCAGGGGGTGGGGGGCAAAGGAAGTCACAGAAGACAGCCAGACACAGGCAAGAATGGGGCCTAGTCTGGGCTAGACAGTGCCCATGCTCAGAGGCAGGGCAATGGGCTCCAGAGCCACTGTGCTTCCAGGAACCTCAGAATGTGACTGTCCCACTCTGGTCTATGTCTGAGGGCCTCTACCTTTACACCCCACCCCATGCCTGCTCAGTACAAAATGGGTTTCCCCAGTGGGGTGCAATCTTAGTATAGATGTAGCCAGCGAGTTCCACTGCCAGGGGCAAAAGTGACCTGAATCTCATGCCTATACATGTAACCAGAGGGGCAGGTAGGGCCTTGCTCCTCCTGGGAGGTAGACAGGTCTTACTGTGAACACGGCCCCGACACACACAAACATACATACACAGAGCCCTTGAAGCCCATTCCTGCTTGAGAAAAATAGCCTCAGATGAATCCTGAAGATACATGTTCCACCAAGCCAGCTACACTGTAACATTTCTGCTACTCTGGGGTTCAGCATGGCCAGGCTCTCTGGAAAACTACTGCTGTCCCCAGAGCCCACAGATCAAAGCGCCTCTACCCTAAAAAGAATACCCACTACTCCTGGCCCCAAACACTGATGACCTAGAGTCCCTAGAAACTTGACAACTCTGGGGCTGGGTCCCATGGAGCAGGCCCAGTTGAAGGTCTAGTGCAGGAGGGAGGCAGGACTTAGCATTTTCCACGTCATTCTCAGTCAGGCCACCAAGCATGTGCCTAACAGCTAAGGACCCATCGAATTAGCCACTAGTGCCAATATCACAGGACGGTAGGGAAGGACAGCAGTGCAGAGGAGGGTGAGGGACAGCCAGGGCATGCCAGTTTCAGGGTAGCAGCAGCTCTCCAAACCCTAGCCACGCAGGCTTACTCACCGTGGTCTGGTACCTGAGACAGGGCCAGCTCTGTGTGAGAGGTGGCTCTGGTCTCTGCCCAGCTCTTCAAAGGCTACAGGATGCCAGAGGCAGGTTGGGAGGAATACCTGAGGTCGATCCCTACTAATAGTGAGCCTGTAACCACTGACAAAGAAGTTCTCACTGCAGGCTAGCAGTACACACCCCCAACACACACATACACACACACACACACACACACACACACACACACACACACACACACACACACACACACACTTCCTAGCACCAAAACCTGAGCTGGGGGAGAGGCAGAACCTGGAGGTCAGGGTAAGGCCCGTGGGAGATGGAACAGCAAGGTGTCCTGAAATAGCTTGTCCAAGGCACCAGGGAACTTCCACCCAACCCTCTGGCCACTGCCAAGGCTACTCTTCTGGCCAGGAAGCTGCATCCTGGAAGTGCTGTAGATTCTCAAAGGACCAGCCATCTCTCCTGCTCCTCAGGACAATGTTGTACTCATCCTCTGCGCTGAGGACAGGTGCATGGGGCAGGACTGGAGCATCACCCGCCAGCAAGCACAGATCTAAAAAGGATGAAGCCTGAAGTGGCAGGAGCCTCTTAACCAAGTGAGGACCAGTATGTTCAGGAATGGCTGCTCTTAGGTCTGGGAAGGGCAACCACACAGGAATCTGCACCACAGGCTGACAGGAATGAGTTCATCCCATCCATGCTATGGCCCAGGTCTTCAGTACCAGCGGGGCAGGAGCTCCAGGCTCAGTAGGTCCAGAGAAGAAGGTAGGCACAGGAAGACTTGAAGCATGGGGACTTGCAGGGACTCCGCTTCCAGGCCATTTAACGGAGTTGACACTCAGCCTTCTCCAGACTTCACACACAACCTACTGACAGAAGGCAATGCCCCTGCCTCACTTCACAGCTCTCCCTCCAGAGTCTCAGCCAGCCTCTCCTCATCTGCCTGCTGCCTCTGCTGCTGGATCCGAGCATAAGAAATGGCATCACCCCTAGGGAGAGAAAAGTAGGTGTTTCATAGGCACAGCCCTCCCACCGCCAACTCCCGGGTTGCAACCCAGGTATGACCTACAGGCAAATTCCCCCAGGACTGTGCTCCCCAGAGGCCACTGTCAGGGGTTAGAGGCCTTGTTACTCTGACAGGGGCACATGTTACCTGGCACTGACTGAGCTAAAGGGGAGAGGTGGCAGCTGGCTACAATGTCTGGTGCACACCTCATGGTGTGCAAGCCAGGCTAGAGGGCCCACCTAGGTTGTCCCCTGAGTTCTTGCCTCTGTTCCTGAGAGCACAAGTAAGTCACTTGTGGCTACTGTGCATAACTAGACCTAGGGTCCCACTCAGACCTTTCCCACTTGAGATGGGGTAGCAGAGGCAGCAGAGGAGGCCCCACCCTGGGGCTGGGGTGCAGACGCACTTTTTGCCCAGGGCAGAGAGTCCGTACAGCACTCCGGTGGCAAAGGCGATGGCGTTGCCCAGCAGTGTGGTCAGGGTCAGGCTCATGATGATGGGGACGATGGCCATCCTAGGAGAGAACAGAGGTCAAGGGTGCACTCCCACCCCATGTGCTGCCCCTGTGGTCCTCAAACTTCCCTTCTGGAGACAGAGTTTAAAACCACATCAGTTCTTTGTGGCAAGATCTGTGATCCACAAGGGGTTAAATAAAAAAAGGGCTGGGTCTATATGACCCCGTTATTCATTAAAACAGAGAGGCTGGGCCCAGAGGATCAGGGTATAGTTCATGTGTGCAGTCCCAGGGCTCCATCTGTATAGTGGGGTCAAACCTGAGATCCTGATGTCAGTATGAAGGCTGCTGGCCACTTATCCCACACCCACATCACAAGCACTGAATGGTCGCTCTCATCAGTACAGCAATCCTGGGCCAGCTGTACCTCAACAAGCAGCCTCTCCACTCCCCTACCCACCCCCACCCCCCACCCCCGCTCACACCCAGGGGAACACTGGACCCAGTGCAGCTCTAGCTGGGGCTTCAGTGGCAGGCCAGCGCCACCTGGTGGTGGGTCCGTTCCACCTAAGACCCTCTGCAGCTCCGTTTTGAGGGATGGAATTTTCCAACAAGAGGTGAATCCCAGACAGGCTGACCCAGGAAGATTCTGGAGAGGAGGCACCTGGAGCAGGAGGATGACACTGAGAGCCAACTGCACTCCTTGGATTTCCAGTGTAGATTTCATTTTAGCAGAAGTGCTTCAAAGTACGGAGGGTCCTTGACTTAGATGGTTGTGCTTGTGGTACTCAGCAGACATTGACTAGGGTTCTGAGTCCCAAGCTCTGTGGGCCACCTTATGAGGTGCCATGCAAAGTCACAATGCCCAGCGTCAGGGCTTTAAGCATGATGAAGGTTGGCAACAGCTGTGTTTGGTAGGTGAGGTGTGCTACCATGTTTTCAATAGGATATCTGTTTTATCAAAGTGGAAACTCGTCTTAAGTTGAGGATCCTCTATAATAAAATAATAGAAATCTCGAGGGAAAAGACCACAGGAGGAAAACCATTAACATTAAAGGCAAATAGCAGGCTGGAAAACCAGAATGGGAAACATAGTAAAGGAATCTGAGGTCTTTAATACTGAGAACACACAGCCTGTAAAGTCAGACATTAATTAAAGCTCTCACAAGAGCAGGACCAGAAACCTTTTGAGAAAGAAAATGAATGTGAATACACAAGAGGGTATTTTACTTCTTCGACAATGAGCATAAACGTGAAAGTGGCACTAGGCACTGGGTGTACAGAGGAGGGACAGGACACCCAGATGGCCTCTCGGGAAAGAAACGGAGTCACGTATGGTAAGATCTTTTGAATGCCCATAACCTTTGGTCTGGTAATTCCACACCTGGAAACATCTCTTAAGGATGTCATCATGGTAGTTTTGGCAGACAGATGTTCACCAGACTTGAGTGACATCAGCTAACAAATTAAGACAAAGGCAGTATGTCCAGCAGAATAAATGTGTTTAACATTAAAAAGAATGTCATAGTCTTTGTGATAATACTGAAAAATGTTGATACCACCGCCAGCCAAAAAAGCAGGTACAAACCTTATGAGCAGGTATAGCAGTTATAAGCATGTTAAAGATGAGCTTCAAAAGTGTCTGGATTCAGACTAGAGGGACACGTGCCAAAGAATTAATAGGTGGTGAGGTCTGGAGTGACCATTTTCTACTTTACAAGGACTTTTGATAAACATACATTACCGTGAGCATCATGACAACACATCTTAAAAACTCAAAGAAAGCCAGGTATGGTAACTCATGCCTTTAATCACAGCACTCAAGAGACAGAGAGAGAGATGAATCTCTGTGAGTTCAAGGCCAGCCTGGTCTACATGAGACTCTCTCAAATACACAGGGGGATAAAGGAAGGAGTGAGGAGATGGCTTAGTTGGTAAATGCCTGTTACCCATGCATAAGGGCCTGTTTGGATCTCCATAAAAACCCAAGTACTTCAGGGCTGATGAGGTAGAAACAGGGGAATTCCTAGAGCTCACTGGCCAGGCAGTCTAGCCAAATTTGCGAGCTCCAGGTTCAGTAAGAGATCCTGTCTTTAAAAACAAGTGGAAAGTGACTGAGGAAAATGTCCACATCTGGCTTCTACATGCATGTGCACCTACATAGAGGTATGTATGTATGCACATGTGCGTGTGTGTGCATACACATGCAAATCAAAGGACACCATGCTACACTGATTAGAACTTTGTGATCCAATGAGCCCTTTGGATTTAAACACATCAGAAAAACGCCAGCAAGCACACGCCCATTGTACATTCTCACTGCCGAAGCCGCTGAGCCTCCACCAAGCTTTGGTCTAACCTGATCTTAAAGATAATATTGGTAATTGTGATAAATATCACTGCTTCTCTGAGCTCTCATGCAAAAGCCCTTCTCTAGAGGTTTCTGTGTATTCCATTTATCTCGGAAGTGGTGCAGTCTTATGACACACTGTACTTGTCTGAACCAGAAGGAGAAAAAGCGTATTTAGAGGAAAATGGTGTTTTCTCTTCTGCAATCTCATGACATCTAGGTTGGCCACATTCCTTTCAAGGCTGCACAATATCCACACAGATCTACTATGACCTGTCTGGCAACTCCCAGCCGCTTCCCTGTCCTGTCCCCCCCCTCGCCCCCCCACGCACTGCTGCCAGCACTACAGATCTTGGAATACTTGTATGGCTGTAGCTGCCATCTGAGCCTCAAGAAAACAGCTCCTGGGTCCCGTTCTTTAGCAGCTGTTACTGGATGGGCCAGTGGCTGTGTGCACAGCTATCAAATAAAAACTTCTGCAGGAAAGAAAGGTGTTCCTGCCCCACCCACCTCACCAATACCTGCTTTAATCAGCAAGAGTTTGGAGAACCGTGCCATAGGGCCCACCCAACAGCCCCTCACCCGCAGTAGAAAACGGCCTTCTGCCAGGAGCGCAGCCGGTCCACCTTCTCAGCCACTGTGTTCGCAAACTCCACAAACTGGCAGCAGAAAGGTGCCTCACACAGCACCAGGATGAAGGCGTTCATGCTGCGGGGCAAAGGCAGAAAGCACAATGACAGCTGACAACCTGGGGCTGCAAAAGCCTTCATGCCAGTGCTCAAGGAACACCACCCTCCCACAGGCCCTCCGCTTCTGGAAGCACCTCGATACCACAAGGTGCCGGTTTCTGCCAAGCAGTTCGGCACCCCACCCCATCCCACTGCTGCAGCAGCATCCCTAACTGCCCAAGCATCCTGGAGGAAGATCCTTCCAACTGTGCAATGAAGAACTAAGACCCTTGCCTCGATATTATCCTGAGCCAGCAGCATGTTCATCCACAGAACTTGGCCACAGTGCCAGCTGCTAGTGGTATCATCATAGTCACCAACACAGTCATTGAGGGCAGGCTGTCCCCAGCAGAAGTGCAAGGGCTGGCTGCACCCAGTTGCTGAGGACTACTCATGGCCTTAGGCCTGGGACCACATGGGTCAGGCAGATAGATGCAAGGTAGTGGGCAGCCCATGCTGGAAGCTTCCACTCAGGTGCTTTCACTCCTTGCCCGGTTCCTGGGAGCAGCTAAGTTGCTGGTGCTGAAGGCCTTTGCTCCCATAGGTGGGTAATGGTCATGCTCAGACAGCTGGGCCTTTGCCAGGCCCCACATTTGGAAGGGAAGTGCCGATGATTAACAGTCTGATTAACAGACACAGCTCTTGACCACTGCCTACCTCCCCAACCCACCACGGCTGTCAGTCTTCCAAAGACCAGCTGTACAATCTGTACACAACCTCTACAGTCCCCATTCTTGCCACCTTGGGCCAGCACAGGCCTCTGTACACATCACCACAAGACCCAATCACCCTGTCCTGAGGCCTAAGGCAGTACCTATACCTTCCCCTAAATGACTGTGTAGCCCCTTGTAGGCACTAACAAATGCTAACGCACAGGGCTTCCCATGTGCCTTGAGCAGCCCTTACTCTGGCGCCCCTTTTCCTGGGATCCAGCTGGGTGATAAGGAGCTCATCTGTGGATGCTATAGCCACCAGTTCCATCTGGATCTGCCCCACTAACAAGCCCTGCTCACCGCCTTACAGCTGACCATCCTCTTCTCTCCCTCTTAGACACTCAACTCTGACCTTACATATCATGGCTCTGCAGCTCCCAGAGGGAAGGGTCCATTGTAGTAGACAAAGAGTCTACAGTGTCTGTCTAGGCAGGTGCTCAGCAACTGTATCTGTGACTTTATACCCAATAAAGACTCAGCTGGCTGTCCCCCTGGCCCATAAATGCTGTGGGAGCAGGAAGGGGGATTTGACCTGCATCACAGCCCTCAGACCCCACCGGGGCAGACCATTCACAGCTACTCACATCATCCACACGCCAGCTGCGATATTCAGAGGGTGGATGGTGACGCAGTTGAAGAGTCCAGAGATAGCACAGGCTTCAAAGCAAAAGACATGGGCAGGAGTTAGTGGAGTGTGTGGTAGAGCTTGCAGAAGGCGGCTTGGGCCGGGTGGTGGTGGCGCACGCCTTTAATCCCAGCACTCGGGAGGCAGAGCCAGGCGGATCTCTGTGAGTTCGAGACCAGCCTGGACTACCAAGTGAGTTCCAGGAAAGGCGCAAAGCTACACAGAGAAACCCTGTCTCGAAAAACCAAAAAAAAAAAAAAGAAGGCGGCTTGGGCAGACACTGAGAACTCATGGGGCTCCCTTTAGATGCTCAACACTAGGGTTTCCCTCAGCATCCCACCATCACCTGAGACAGCTTAGGGTAACTCAATAAGCCTACTTCCGAACCTCAAATCTAGCTACTTTCACACCTAAGGCTCTGATGGGCCAGCCCTTGGTTTCAAGCTATTATCAAAATCCCCTCAAGAGGTCAGGCCTGTTCTGCCTTCAACAAGAACCTTAGCAAGGGCCACCTATCGTCATCCACAAAGTAGGCTGCTCAAAAAGCTCTCTGACTTGGAAAACTCGATTCAGAGTTATTTGAGGTTGTTGTTGTTTATGCTTGCTTGGTTAGGAGTTTTGTTTTGTTCTGTTTTGTTTTGTTTGAGACAGAGTCCTACTCTGTAGCCCAAACTGACCTCAAACACTATCCTGCTTCTTCAGCCTTCTTGGGGTTGGGATTACAGACATGTGCCACTATGTCTGGCTACAGCTTGAATTTGGGTCAGGATAGAGATGCCTCTCATGATACACTGATGGGTACCAGGTAAGATCCAAATGACAGTTCCACATCGAAAACACCAGCCAAGTGACCCTGGGCATGTAGCCTTCTAAGTTCATTTTCTCTCCTACACATGGGCGTGTTGTGTCCCAATACTAGAACAGCAAGACACCATGAGGAGACAGTGTGTCCTCTTCTTCCCCATAATATAACTTCACTCCAGTGTGCAGCCTGAGGCTCCTCTCCCGACTGCACCCCAGGGATGCAGTCTGCCACACCTACTCACAACCTGCAGCTGGCTTCACCAGGAAGTCCTTCACCAGGAACTCTGGGAGCCTCTGAGAACATTCCTGGGAGCTGCCCAGCCTGGCAGGACACATGTCCAGGTTGTCGCCAGGGAGGGGCAGAGTGTTTGCCCTCTGAGCAACCAACTCATTAAACTTGCAGCAGTTCCATGGCACCTGATCCCTCCACTGGGCCTGGGATTCCACCATTTTCCTCTTTCCTGTGTTACACTATGCAAATGGCAGGAGAATGGACCAAATGACTGACTCTGAATGGCACAGCTCCTATGCCATAAAACCTCCTCCTCCTCCAATAAAGAACTAAGCAGCACACACCCACGTGTGACTCTGGCAGTGAAACTTCCGGGGCCACGGAAGTGAGGGACTACTCCTGCCTGTGTGTAGCTGGGCCTGGTCTCACCTGAGGGGCCCGCACTGCTGCCCTCAGCATTCCAGCTACAGCTCCACTCAGCCCAGGCTGTCCTACACAGACAGCTTTGGGGAGGACCAGGTCACAGCCCAGAGAGACGGAAGTCCTTTGACAACCAAGGACTCAAATACTCCACTTGGAGTGCTATGTCCTCCATAAAAAGGAGATGTCACTATACAATCCTTTCTTTTTTTTAGCTATTGTCTACCAATGCCTTTGGGACTGGAATAAATCCCTCCAAGGCCCCTCACTCTAAGAGAAGACAACCCTATGTCAGAGTGACTGGCTAAGACACAGCTCTTGTCAAAACCCCTATTGAATTTCTAAAGCAAAAACACTTTTTCTTTCCCCCCTGTGGTATGCCAGTACTCAAATCCTTGATGTCCCCAAATCTGAAGTCTCAGGGGACAATTGGAGTTAATGCCATGGGTCTCCTCTAAGGTTTCAACTATGGCTCAACCCAGAAGGAGGGTTGGGGAGACCTTCTAGGGTAGCATAGACACCCACTTTAGAAAGCACAGGACTGGGTGGGATTTCCAAAGTCAATCTAGAAGTCACCTGGGTCACTGATGGCATCACCAAAATGGAGGGAGGGTGGTAGCATGTAGGCCAGAGTCAGGATCTTCCTTGCTCCTGCACCCCTTAATACCACCTTAAAATAGCTAACTGCACTGGAGAGGATTTGAACTCAAGCTCAGCAAATTCTCTCAAGAGCTGCCTTACCAGGGCAGTACATACCTAACCCCACCCTATCCACCTGAACTTTCAGCTGGATCCTCTGGACAGATGGGACTCCAAGGTACTCCTTCAGGCAGGAGAGAAGATGGGTCTGCCCACCCACACAGTTTCTGCTCCTGTACCAGGTAGGCAATGGGATCCTCGGACCTTCCTTTCCTGAGACCAGCATTCCCCCTGGGCTTCTAGGAATTCACAATGAAAGGGACAGACAGGATTTAGGAAACACATTCGTTCAAAGGTCTGCACGTAAGAGGTGGGCCTGCCTTCCTCTTTTATCCTTTTGGAGTTCTCTGGAACCTAAACTTAGGGAGTGTGAACCAGGGCTTGGTGTAGAAGATACCAGGCCGGTGAGAAGCATTAGCAGAACGTGGACAGCTAAAGAAGCGAAGTCTAAATAGACAGTGAGAAACCCATGAGAAGCCGCCTCTCCCTCACCCCCTGCCCAGCCAGGGGGCCATCTACCCCCTGGCACCATCTGACCCTCAAGGAAAGTTCCCAGCCTGTGGAGACTTGCCCCCGCCCCCACTTATGAATAAGCTTTGCCCAAAGGCTGGGAACTAGGCAGTCCCACCCCAGCCCAGGTGAGCATCACCAGGACTGGGAGGACCAGGAAGAGGCAGACGCGCGTCCTCCGTGAGTCTCGGCTCCTCGGGACAAGGCCAGGTCAGCTCCGCCTCTGGCCACCGCGCTCCGGGAGGCAGAACGCAGGCCCGAGGCCAGGAGCCATGGCAACCCCGGGGACGCCCACTCCCAGGCCGCGGTACTCACACACGGCCCCCAGCACGCCCGCCAGGCGGCACAGCCAGCGGTACCACCACGTCATGCCCTCATCCTGTGCCGGCGGGGCAGGGCCAGCGGCCGCTCCGGCTGCCCCCGAGCCGCTCATGCTGCCGGGACGCTACGCTTTAGGAAGCGCGCAGCCCCAGGCGCGCACAAAGGGACGTGTCCACCCGCGCGCGGCCTTGTGGGAGAGGCGGCGATTAGCATAGGGGCGGACCCGCAGGCCAGTAGCGGCGGGTGGGGGAAGGCGGCGGGCGGGTGGGCCGGGGGGAAACTGGCGTATATTAGCATAAGGGGCGTGTTTACAATTCGTTCAGCTCTCCTCGCCGCCGAGATCCAGCATATGAGCTGCATTCGGACTGGCCTTTTCTTTTCCCAAGACTGGAAGACGTCGTCTAGAAGACCCTGCTCAGACGGCCAGAGAACCCCGCCTCGCAGTAGAATGAGCTTTCAAGCCCAGTTGGGGCAGGTTATGGGAGGAAAACGCCAGTCAGGTTTCCTGTATCCTTTATTAGCAACTGGGGCTGGGACTGATTGTCCGATCTCCACCTCCCAGCAGCCCTAGGCCTTCTGCACCTGGAAAAGGTCCCTAAAAGAGATTCCCTAAGGCCGGCAGGCATTAGAACCTCTCAAGAGGCTAGTGTTGCACTCCAAGACTGGTCACGTTAAGTGTAGGGTTGCCTCTCTTTCCGGCGGTTGGAGAGAAATCTAAGACAGAGCCAGACTGTTGTCCTGTTCTGGTGTTCTCAGTGGGATGGTCCAGTACTGACCCTGGAGGCTGGCATGCGCCTCCAGGAAACCAGGGCTAAACTCCAATTCAGCCTCGCTGCCTTCCGACTCCCAGTAGAGTGCCTGCTGCCCCCAAAACGTTGTGGTCCTCAGACTGTGGATATCCCTGATCTGGGGAGAAGCAAATAGCCAGGACAGGCTATGAGTGATCATTATCTAGAATTTATAGACTCCTGGCTACTTAGAGTCATGTTTGATTCTCACAGGAGCCCCCACAAGGGACACTATTCTGTCCAAGAAACTGAAGCTCAGAGACCTTGGGCCCCTTCCCCAGGACACATAGTCAGGTGCCAGAACTGGAATCCTGCTCAGGTCTGACTCTGGGGTGATCTGATGCCTTGTAGAGCACACAAACCCTCAACACTACCTATGCTCTTCTGGGAAAAAAAAAAAAAAAAAGCCAGGCATGCACATGATGCTTTCACCCTGGGTCAACAGGCAATCTACCCCCAGGAAAGGGTTCCCCTTTTCCTTCTTGCAGGTAGAGCAGCAAGCAGTTGCTGGTGAGTTAGTGGAGGAAACCCTCCTTCCATTCTTTCAAATAATTTTGAAGTTTGGGGTGAAAAACTGAAAGGGTCCCCTAAACCCAGCACCCCCATCCTTTTTCCTAGGGACAGCTCTCTAGAATCATATTAAAAGTCACCCCACTTTCTGTCCCCATCCTGGTGACCTCACCGAGACATAGTTGGCGTTGGTCCTCTTGGAGGCAGTGGCCATGTCACTGGCCAGGGCACGGATGGCAATGCGGGCCTGTGGGGCCACACTGATGAAGACCCGGCAGCTCTTTGCATTCCTCCCATCTGGGTTCCCTGGGGGACTCACAATTTCACCCCGAGGTCCGAAGAGCTGTCTGTCACATTCTACGGGCAAGAACAAATGGACTGACTGGCTGTGGGCCACCTCAGGGAGACGACTGATACCAGGGTGGTCCCTGGCAGGCTCTCCCCTCGCTGCCGCTGAGCCTGCACGCTGACCACTTCTAATAGACTAGCTGCAGGCAGTGATCTGAAAGGAGCAGGTGGGGATGGCTCAGCAGACGAAGTGCTTTGTACAAGCCTGACAACTTGAGTCCGATTCCCAGGATCCACATGGTGGGAGAGAACCTCTGACACCACCCCTGCCTGACAATACACACACACACACACCATTTTTTTTTTTTTTTTTTAAGGAAAGGAGGGCTTGTGAGTGCCAGCATATACATATAAGTCACCAGAAGCAGGCTGAGGGAAAGTGGCGCACAGACCTGAGAGGACCTTGAAAGAACTAAGAACCAAGGTCAAGGGAATGGGGCAGTGGCCTGAGGGATGGGACAAGGACATGGACCATATCTATGTCCACCCATCCAGCTTCATGGCCACAGAGGAACCCCATCCTGACTATGCGGAAGACATGGCCTGCTCCCAGTTTCCATCTTGGCCAGCTCTCTCCTGGCCTGCCCATGACGCTGTTGAAAATGCCCTGTCCACAGCAGCACAGGCATAGCCACCCTGTGAGGAGGTGGGGAGGCCCAGGCAGCTGTCCATACCTCTGTAGAAGGTCCCTGGGGCAGGTTGGCTCCGGTACCGTAGCAGGACTCCTCCTCCTGGCAGCACGCGGTGCTGCCGCACCACCAACGTGTTGGTTTGGGTGCTGAAAGTCATGCCAGACATCTTCCAGCATGTCTTCCTCCATGTGAACCTACCCCAAAGCAGCAACAGCTCCCCTAGAAAGGGTGAGGCAATGAGGAGCCAGCACCCCCACTCGAAGTCAGCAGCAGTGGCTCAGGGCTGAGTTCAAATAACCACTCTTACTGGCTAATGTGACTAAGTGGGGGCTTGTGACCAAAGCTCTCATCCCCCCAGTTTCCTATCTTATTCCCACACTCCAGTCGTGAAGCAGCCTTAAAATGCCAAGCAGGGGCATCCTGCCAGAAATGGGGTACAATGGAGTTGTGCTGCAGGCCCCAAGCTCAGCAGTTGCCCCCTTGCCTCTGGATGTACCTGCACTACACTTGAGGGTGCTCTCGAGGATTTGGAGGGTCACCACTTCACCTAGAGGCCGCCCAATGGCCACCACGCAGTCTACCTGCCCTTGACCTCGCATGTCAATTGTTCCTGTGGGCTCCAGGTACTGCCTTCCACAAGCACCTACAGAGGATGAAAGAGGAGTGAGGTGACCAGAGCAGAGCAGGGCTGATAGCTGGGGCTGGCAAAGGGTGAGAAGGGGGCATCCAAGGCACTAGGCCACTTTTACATGCTTCGGGGAAAGGGAGGCAGTGTGGTGTGTGGGCTTGGGGCTGTACGGACCTGAGCTCCTGACCCTGCAACCTTTGGGTTATTTGAAGGGGACAGAAGTAAAAGTGTGGCTTCTGAACTGGAGAGATGGCTCAGTTGGTAAAGTGCTTCCTTGAAAGCTTGGGGACCTGAGTTCAACCCCCAGAACCTACATTTTAAAGGACAAGTATGGAGGTGTGCATCTAGTCCCAGCACTGGGGAGGCAGAGACAGGTGGATCCCTGGGACTCAACCAGCCAGCCTAACCTACTTGGGCAAGCTCCAAGCCAATGAGAGAACCCTGTCTAAAACAAGATCGATAGCTCCTGAGGAATGACACCCAAGGTTGTCCCCTGGTCTACACACACACACACACACACACACACACACACACACACACCTGTACCTGTGCACACGCACACACACACACCTGCACCTGTACACACACACACATACACACACACATACATACACACACGTGCACCTGTGCACACACACACCTGCACCTGTGCACACACACACCTGCACCTGTATACATACACACACACATACACCTGTGCACACACACAATACACACCTGCACCTGATTGTGTGCACACACACACACACACCTGCACCTGTACACACACACACACACACACACACGTGCACCTGTGCACACACACCTGCACCTGTACACACACACACCTGCACCTGTATACATACACACACACACACACACACACACACACACACACACACATGCACCTGTGCACACACACAACACACACCTGCACCTGATTGCGCGTGCACACACACACAGGCACACACACACACATACACACACACACAAGCATGCACATACAAACATGAAAAATATGGCTTCCCTTTGCCAGATGGGAAGGAGGCCCTGAGCCCAGTGGCACAGGGTCTAGTTACTGAGTGCTTGTCCAGGCATGCCCAGGTCGAGATGACAACCTCCCCCAGAGGAAGCAGGAATAAACCTAACCAGACTCTTCCAGGTTTTCCTGGAGCCCCGGAGACTGGGAGGCTGGGAAGAGGGTGCGGGCTTGGCCGTGGGGCTGGGACCACTCCAGAGAAGCAAGAGTGACAGCAGCCTGGGTCTGGCTGGGAAGAGTAGCTTCCTCGTGGGCCAGTGAGCTGGGGGTCTCCTGCCCTGCACAGGGTCCAGCCCAGCAGCCCCTCACTGTCACAGGCTTGGGTAGGTGCTGGCAGAAGCTGGCTGGCACAGGCACTTGGGCCTGGGGTCCCAGGCAGGTGTCATGCCGACGCTGGATGCCATCTCCACAGGAGACAGAGCACTGTTAGGAAAGAAGGGGAAGATCATGGTGACCCTCCCAAAGAGGGGAAGACAGAGTGACCACAGGACAATGTGATGTAATGTCATCCCTTCACACCCTGGAAAATGACAGGTATCTCTGCTTTACAGATGAGGAGACTGGAACTAAAGAGATGCCTTTGTGGGGGCTCACATGTGTGTAAGACCTGAGATTCTGGTCTCGGTGTCCATCCATCACTGTCTCAGTTTCTTTGCCCCTCAGAGCCCCAAAGAAGGGGCCAGGGTGACCTTCTCTACCTATGTTTGTCCTGCCCTCCCGCAGTTTCTATCTTCATCTGATGCCCAGATTCCTTCTGTTAGGTGAGGTGGGGAGCAGGCTCTGAGGACTACAGTTTATCCTAGCTGTTCTCTCTGTGTGCTGTCTGCCACTGTGAGTGAACTCCTCCCAGGGGAACCAAGCTCTACCCCCTTGGTCTCCCTAGTGATTTGCTGGGTGCTTGTCACAAGGTGACATTGATCTCTGTGGTAGCGAGGATTCCAGTACCTGCAGACACCAGGCTTCTCTCAGCCCAGCTGTCTGGGTCTCCACGCTTTGCTGTGTCCCTGGCTCTGAGCATACACCATAGCAGACTCTCCCCTCCTTCCAAGGGTCATAGTGAATCAGGACCACAGGCCCCTTCCTGCACAAAGCTGATGCTTTCCTTAGCCCCAGCTAGAAGTCCCGGCATCAGTATTAGACCACCCTTACCTCTGTCCAGGTGCTGATGTGCCACCGGTAGGCACAGTCAGCAATGAGGCAGGGGACCCTGCTCTGGGGCCGCACCAGAGCCTTACAGAAAGTTTCATCCACTTCACTGTCATGGCCTTGGTCAAGCTGCATGCAGGCCACTGTTCGTGTGGCAATGCCAAGGCCACAGCTGGCTGAGCATGGGCCAAGGGACAGGATTTTCCATCTGCAGTAACAGAAGATCCCAATGACAGCTGGGCCTCTGTGAAGGCTGGGTCACTATGGGGGACTCTTGAAGGACCCTCAGCTCCTTCAACAGTGGTCTGCCCTGGCCACTGAAATCCCTACCTGGCCCTGGGTTTCCACTGATCTCACAAGCTGCAATGTTGCCCCTCATGCCCATGTCATTGGTTGGCCCAGTGCTGCTCTGGGACCCTGGGACCTCAGGGGTGTATGGTTTGCACCTTGCCACCACTGGCACCTGACCCTGCACGACCCTTTGTCCTGGGGGGCCTATCCTGTGCACTGCCAGACAGGCATGACTAGCTTCTGCCCACTAGGAGCCAGTAGCAAATGTCCCTAATTATGACTATTAAACTGAAGCTGCCTTCGAGACAGAATCATACCTGGCTGAGAAACTAAGGCCCTAGAAAGGAGAGAGACCATAGATGCTGATTACAGGGTGGCCACACAACACCCCAGTGGTAACCAGAACTCATGTGTGCATGCTGTCCCCATTTAAAAGACAAAGAAGGAGAGAGAGAGAGAGAGAGAGAGAGAGAGAGAGAGAGAGAGAGAGAGAGGAGATTTAGCTGGGTGTGGTGGCACATGCCTACAATTCCAACCTTTGGGAGGTGAAGGCCTGAGGTTCAAGAATTCAAGGCTATCTTCAGCAGCATAGAGAGTTTGAGGCTAGCCTGGCCTACATAAAATAAAAAAAGAAGAAGAAAAAACCCTAGGTCATTCATAAATATGACATGCAGAAAAAACAGACACATAGACCGGGAACTTTAGCGAAAATGAAGAGGACAAGACACATGTGCTGTGGGTGTCAAGTAGATTCTAAGCTACAAAATTTAAGACCGTTATATATACAGAAGGAAAAGTCAAACAACCTGATAAAAAGCCTGACAGTCTGTGGTGGTAGTGCTTCCGTTTCTGTGGGCAATGGCATCCCTGCTTTCCCATACACAGAGCCTGCAGGCCCCCGACAGCTGTGCTTGTAGAACTGACAACCCACCGGCCATTTGTAGTTGAACCTCATCTCTCATACCCAGCACAGCCTGCCAAGCAGCCCTGTTTTTCTACAGTGTCTCTGAGCTACTGCTTGGCCTTGAAATCTCCAGGGGTCCTGCCTGGAGCTTGTGCACTAGGCATGCCCCCACCACTACCCACCTCCCTTACCTGGGAGGACAGGGCTCTGGGCTGCAGGCCTCATGGGACTCGGGGCGAGGCAATCCCTGGCACTGAGTGTCAGGCAGAATCTCTTCGTCATCATCCTCACCACGAGCCTGGGCACAGTACAGGATTCTCCGTGCGAGCCCTCCCCCACAGCTCACACTACAGGCCGCCAGCTTGTAACGCCACCTGGGAAAAACTGGAGTTAGCGGGACCCAAAGGGCAACATACCTTCCTCTCATTTCTCCAACAGGAAAAAATAGGTTGGAAAGGGCATGGAGAGCTTTTGCCCCACCGGGAGGCTCAGTACAGTGGACAAAGTATTTAAACCAGCCCACTTCACAGAAGGGGAAGCTGAGGGTAAACAGAGATTGGGTCCAAAAGGCTGAAGGGGGAAAGTCAGGGTACCAAAGGGAACCTGCAAAGGTATCTGTCTGTAGTGGAAGTCCTAGTGCTGTCCTCACCCTGGAACCTGCCACCAGCCCTGCAAACTTCCCTACCCACCATGGTTGGCTCCGTTGCCCCAGACACTGCTCATCACACTGTCTCATTCATTGTCCATCACCCCCATTGTCAGTTCCAGGACATCTTTTTACTTTGTCATTACTATGTCCTCTGACTGCAGCTAGTGCCTGGGCATAGCAGGTGTTCAGTAAAGAACGAGCAGTGAATAAATGTTCCATCAACTTATGTGCCTGACTGTGCCAGGTAAGAGAAGCCTTGGGAAGCTGAGGCAGAAGGGTCATAAGTTAAAGGCCTACCTGGGCTACATAATGAAGTTAGTGAGCAGCTTAGCGAGACCCTGTCTTGGCATAAAGGTAAAGGGGAGGGGGTGGGAATATAGCTCCGTGGTAGAGTGCTTGTCTAGATGTACAAAGCCCCAGTATTTAAAAAAAAAAAAAAAAAGTGGACAGGAGTGGTAGCACACACCTTTGAGGCAAAGGTAAGTAGATCTCTGTGAGTTCGAGGCCAGCCTAGTCTACATAGCAAATTCTAGGACAGCCAGGGCCACATAATGAGACCCTGTCTCATAAAAATCAAATAGATTTTTAAAAAAAAAGTGCCTATGTCATCACCATCCCAGATCCTACAAATGTACATCATCTGGGGGTGGTGGCAGAGCTGAATGCAGATCCAGTGCTGCCTCTCTCCCAGGCAAGGTGCTTACCTAGCAGGACAGGGCTCAGGGTTGCAGTCCTTGAAGGGGAATGGCCTAGGCACTGGCCAGCACTTGGAGTGAGGTAGAAACACAGGTCGGCCATGGTCCAGCTGCATACAATGAACAGCTAGTGGTACTCGTCCCCCTCCACAGGACACAGGGCATGGTGCCAAGACTTGAGTCTCCCACCTGAAGGAGAAGGCCAAGGTTTTATAGGAGACCAGCCCTGGGGTCAGACTCCTTTCTCTGCACTCTCCTTCCCCAGCTCACCGAGCAGGACATGGGCCAGCCCAGCAGACCTCCCACCGGCTCGAGGGCTTGCTGGCCAAGTCACACAGCTCCTCCTGGACAGGCACCTTGAGGACAGAATCCATGCACAGAAAACGCAACTCCATCAAACCTGTCCGGAAGAAGCAGGGATGCTGTTGACCCAGTAGGTCAGCTTAGCAAGAACCACAGCCTTTGTTCCCTGGTCAGCTCCAAAGCCAAGGTCCATCTGCAACTTTCCAGCTGTGTGCATGTGAATAACTGACTTAACCTCTCTGATCCCCTGGTTTTCATATCATGGTATGTACCTAGCAGAATCATTTATAGAGACTGAATAATGAAAGGTGTGAGATGCCTGCTGCCCGAAGCTGCTGCTGTTACTGCGAAGCATTGTGGAAATTGCTGTAACAGTGTCTCTTGACCTCTATCCATGTTCGTGTGAGCAATCCTGCTTATATGTGGTAGCCACAAACAAAAACAAACGAACAAGATATAAAAGTAGGAGGGGGACTTGCTGTGGAGAAAGTAACATATATACGTGTGTGTGTGTGTGTGTGTGTGTGTGTGTGTGTGTCAAAAAGTGGAAGAATAAGAAGAATAAATAAAAGCCAAGTGGCGGCGGCACATGCCTTTAATCCCAGCACTTGGGAGGCAGAGGCAGGCAGATCTCTGGCCAGCCTGTTCTACAAAGCTAGTTCCAGGACAGCCAAGGCTACACAGGGAAACCCTACCTGAAAACAAAAACAACAACAACAAAAAAAAAAAAAAAACGGAAGAAGGAGGAGGAGGAGGAGGAGGAAGAAACAATTTTTTTAAAGAATGTCTCTTGAGGGGCAGGGGTATAGCTCAATTGGTAGAGTGCTTGCTTGCCTGTCATGCACAAAGGCCTGGTTTCAACCCCTGGCACTGCTGTGCATACGGGCAGGAGAGAAGATGGTTCTGTGGTTAAGAGCTCAGATGACCACATTCAATTCTCAACACTCAAGTCAGGCAGCTCATACCGGCCTGTAACTCCAGCCCCAGGGAATCTGATGTCTTCTGGCCTCTCCTGCACCTGCACTCAAGGGCACAAATCCTTACACATATACACATACATAATTAAACATTCATAAAAAAAATAAGTACTGTGTATATTGGCATAAGTATACAATCCCAACACTCAAGAGATGGAGGCAGGAAGATTAGGAATTCCAGGTCATCTTTGGCTACATAGTTAGAGACCAGCCTGAACTACATGAGATCCTGCTGTATCCATCAAAAAGGTTTTATTAGGGTTGGTTTTCTCCATCCCTTAGGAATCTCTTCTGGTCAGTTCTAAACAGGTGTAGGTTTGGGTAAGCAAGTGGTTAGGGCTGTTTAAGGACATTGTGAGTCTTCTTACACCCTTCTCAGTCCCATAGAATGGCTATTGAAAACTCAGAAAACAGCAAATATTAATAAGGATGTGGAGAGGCTGGAACCCTGTGCCCTGCTGGTAGGGATGTAAAATTTCATTCTGAAAGTGCAGAGGAGCCTGCAAAAGTTAAACAAAGCTTGGCCACATGGCTCTGCAATTCCTCTTCCTGTGCACACCAGAAGAACCAAAAGCCAGGCTGGGGGACATAGGCACATGCTCAGAGCAGTACTGCTAACAAAAGTTGGAAGGAGGGTGCTAGTATGTGTCTACTCACGGGTGACAAAAATATCATGGTCCAGATCTACAGTGGAACACTCTTTGGAGTCAAGACGGGATTCTGACACCATTACAACATGTATGAACCTAGGTGACAGAAGCCAGTCACAGAGTGACACATTCCACATAGATGAGGTAAGAGTCAAATCCATAGAGAATGAAACTAAAGTGTAAGAGATGAATGTTGGTGTTTAATGAAGACAGGGTCTGGTTTGGAAGAGTGGAATGTTCTGGAGATGGATGGTGACAATGGCTTTACAACAAGGTGGATATGATTAATGCCACTGGATGAAACATTTAAAATGTTTAAGAGATGGGGCTGGTGAGGTGGTTCAGTGGTTAAGTGTATTTATTGCTCTTGCAGCGGACATGGGTTTGGTTCCAGCAGCCACATGGCAGCTCACAGCCATCTGTAATTCCAGTTCTAGGGGATCGATCTGATGCTTCTTTTGGCCTCATGGCTGTGCACACATGATGCACAGACATACATACAGGCACACACACACACACACACACACACACACACACACACACACACAAATATTTTTAAATGACTAAGAGGTCTGTGGGTGTTTTCCATAACAGAGAAGAGAGAACACTTTTTTGTTGTAGGATATTTAGTCGCACTATGAAGCCCAAGATTGCATTAATTAAATAAATCAACCCTGGGTCAAGAGGTGGAGCCAGTAACTAGTTGGCAGGAAATAGCCACAGAGAGTAAGAGGGAGTCAGGAAAACATAGAGAAATGCACAGAACGTAGTAGGGAGAGACTTGGATTTGGTGGCCTTTTTGATTTGGGACAGTGGAAGAGAAGCTCTGTTTTTTGGGACATTGGCTAAGTAGAAGGTCAACTGGTTGCTCCTTGGCCTCTCTGAGCTAGCAGGTTTTCACCCAAGCACCTGACTCTTGACTCTTTATTGGTAAAATTGTAAGACTGAGATTTAGTTTAAAAACGACACATTTTTTTTAATGTATCTTTAAACTGACTTTTCGGCTTTGGTGGTCAGTTTGCACACAGCTCTGTGGGACTTAAGGGACACACTCTTGGGCACCAGTCTTTCTAGGATTTATCTTTATCTTTCAGTCAGGCATGAAACACATGTAGAGGATTTATTGAGTGCCATACTCACATAGTTTGGCTTTCTTGGCAGCCCCCTCCTTCAGCACTGATCTGGGCAGGAGGTGGGTAGGTAAGAGAAGTAAGAGAGGTTTCATCAATGTCCTCAGGGTCTCACCTCGTCCACAGGAGGTGGCGCACAGTCCCACCAGAGGAGTCCACACATGTGCAGCCTGAGGCCCTGGCTTGTCGCTGCCCGCAGGGGTTGGAGCCTCCTCTCCCAGAGCCGTGGTGTCCAGCTAAAAAGAACAATGAGCAGGTGAGTCTGGCATTCTCACTTCTGCCTCTGAGCTCTCTGCTCCCTGCTCCTCTCCTTTTCAGGAGGGAAGAGGGAATATTCCAAACACACCAGGGCTGCCTCCCTCCTGTTCTCTAAGGAGGCCTGTGTCCTGCCCCTCTTGAGGCCCTCAGCATGTGCCTCTCTTTGGCCTGTTCAGGCTCCTTATCATTCCAAGTATTCTCTGTGGGAGGGGGCTGGAAACTAAGAAACAGGAGTGGATTTGCAAGCATGCTTGGCTCTGCAGTCCCCAGCCCATAAGAATCCAGGGCCTTCTAGCCTGAGAGCAACACCATCAGCCCTGGGCCCTGGGTAATGGGCAAAAGATGGAAGAATTACTCTCATAGCAGCTGGAAGAACTCTTCCATTCCTGTGCTTGGAGGCACAGGCCTGTGATCACTACAACTTGGGAGGCCTGGGCACGAGGATTGAAAGTTCACTGGTTACGTGGGCTATAGACAGAGTTCAAGGCCAACTTCAGAAATTTAGTGAGACATTGTCTCAAAATTTTAAATATATGAAGAAAAGGACCAGGGGTAGCTCAGTAATAGAGTGCTTGCCCAGCATGCTGAAGGCCCTGGATTTGGTTCAAAATAACCCCCACTCAGCTGCTTCTAACAAGCTCTATTTTCTCTCAGCCTGGCTTGCCCCTTTCAGAGGCACTCTAAGTGTGTCCTCTGATGGGGTGTTCCTCAAACAGCACCCTGAGAAGAACGGAGTCCTCATTCTGGCCTACAGGAAGATTACAACTTATATTTTTCATTCTCCCAGCTAAGAAAGGACCCGGGAGTCCCAGCCACCCTTCTTCCCCATCCACTCACCTGACCCCAGCCTGGAGAACATGTGGTCCTGAAACAGGGCTCCAGCGTCGGCGGCATCTCATGTGTGAGGCAGGGACCTGCAGTTGCTGGGTTCTCCAGGTCACTCACTCTGGGCACACATGTCACATTCCCTGAGGCCCGGTCTTCACAGGTGGACACGCAAGGGCCAGGGTGTGACACCTCCGGTCTGAAGATAACACAGGGCTGTCATCAGGCCATGCCTCTGCTGGCTAGTGGGAGGTGCAGCCTAACTCCTGAGGGTGGGTGGGGGTGGTGTCTAGGATCCCCACTAAAAAGCAAAGCTCAGGGGCTTTCTCTGACGCACTGGTCCATCACACCTCAGGTTTTCCTCAACAAGAACTCTGTGTTGGGATGGTGAGATGGCTCAGCGGGCAAAGGTATCTGGCTCCAACCCCGCCAGTCTGATCCCAGGGTCCCATAAGGTGGAAGGAGAAAACTGATGGCTGCAAGTTGTCCTCCGACCTCCATGTCCTTCTTGCACCATGGCTCACTCACACACGCACACATACAAACACACACATACACACACAAACACACACATACACACACAAACACACACATACACACACAAACACACACACAGAGCTGTAATTTAAAGATAAAAAATAACTTTATGCATGCCAACCACATACTCAACCTGTGGCTGGGGATGGGAAGGCAGAGCCCTACTCAACTGCCTTGCATAGGCAACAGTAATCCCTCCACAACCAACCAACAACACACTTCATGCCTGGTTGTAGAGGATGAGAAACAAGCAGGTGCCATGTGCATTCACAGTACCAGTTGAGGGGTGACAAATGGTTCACTGTATGCCACCCATGCATGGTGGCTGCCTAGAGCACCATGGTATCAAGGATGCTGAGGCTGGATCATGCCTCCACAAGTGTGGTGGTTTGAATAGGAGTGGCCTCCATAGACTCATGTGTTTAAATATGTAGTCCATAGGGAGTGGCACTGTTAGGAGGTGTGGCCTTGTTGGAGGAAGTATGTCACTGTGGAGGTGGGCTTTGAGGTCTCCTATGCTCAAGCTATACCTAGGGCCACAGTTCACTTCCTGTTGATTGTAGATCAAGATGTAGAACTCTCAGCTCCTTCTCCAGCACCATGTCTACCTGCATGCTGCCATGCTTCCTCCATGATGATAATGGACTAAACCTCTGAACCTGTAAGCCAACCCCAACTGCTGTGGGATGGTCTTTCTGTATGCTATGAATATGTGTTGCTACCATTGGTTAATAAAGAAGCTGCCTTGGCCTATGGCAAGACAGGTTATAGCCAGGCAGGAAATCCATGCCAAGATACAGGGAGAAGAGAGACAGAGTTGGGGGAGATGCTGCAAGTGCCTCCTGAGAAGCAAGATGTAATGGAATGAGGTAAAGCCACGAAACATGTGGTGATGCATAGATGAGTGAGCTAGTTAGTAATAAGCCCGGCCATAGACCAAACCGTTTGTAATTAATATGAAACCTCTGAGTGATTATTTTATAAAAATGGCTGCTTCCCCGGGTGGGAACAGGCGAGACCGAGAAACTTCAGTCTACACCCAATTAAATATTTTTCTTTATAAGAATTGCCATGGTCATGGTGTCTCTTCACAGCAAGAAAACCCAAAGAGAGCAGCTAAGAGAAGGATTGCAATGCTGGCCATGTGTGAGAGAAGAGGAAGGAGCCAGAGCCATAGGTGGGCCACCAATAATCTCGGGCTCTCCCATTGGACAGACAGCAAGCCTGAATTCAGAAAAGGAGGCGACAGTCATCCAGCCCGTTGGTGACAGGCAGACCAATAAGCCAGGATCAGTTCAGACATGGAGGATATAAGACAGTTACATGGTCACTGAAGGAGAGATGACAATGATGATTGGTGATACGAGCTTTACATTCACAGTTTTGTGCCATCATCACAGCCCTCATCCCCACATCACCCAGGTGTTAGAAATAGATGAGCAGCCCAGCACCTCTTGAATAGTGAGGAAGCTGATGTTCACAAGACCAGGCACCACCATCTGTCACCAGGATGGAGCCCTCAGGAAGAGAGGAACCTCTACAAGGGTGGATCTCAGTGAAGGGACAAACCCTGCCAAGGAGCCTGCTGCACCAGCCTCAATATGCTCACCTGGTGGGACAGGGCTGGGAGTTGCAATTTTCCACTTCTGCTGCTGGCTGCTGGGCTACCGCTTTGCACCGGGCTGGTGGCAGAGTCCTTAAGAAACCATCTTGGACCTGCACACAGCGCACCAACCGCTCCCGAAGACCCCCACCACAGGACACGCTACATGGGCTGAAGTCTCCAGCTGTCCAGCTAAGGAAGAAAGGGACAGAACATCAGGCCTGGGGCCAGGTCTCCCAGTTGGCTCAGGGGCATGGGATGGAAGGCAAGCAGGTCTATCTCGCTGATCCTGATGACACATTTCCTCTGGTTTGGTCCAGGCCCTGTGTATCCAAGTCACTGTTCTGAGACCAGCCTTGGAGACCTCTCCTAACATACTTCTGAACCTGAGGCCAGGTATTTTATAGTGATGGCTGGGGGCCTCCGTAGTCCCATACTCAGCAAGATAGCCTTGTCCTAACACAATTCTGTTACCAGTTGGCAGAAGCCAGTAAAGGTCAGGTGCTGGCCCTACCACCGTTCTCCTTGGTAGGGTGGTCACCACCATCTTGCACTGAGAACCTGAGCTCAGAGAGGCCTCAGAACATCCAGACAAGGTGGCAGCGGATGTGACCAGACTGCCTCTGTGACTGTGTGTACTCAAGTCTTGGTGTCCTCACTCACAGAATGGGGACACCGACAGAGCCCAGCCCACAGAGTTGTAGCTAAAACTGAAAAAAACAACACGTAGAGATGCTTTCCAGTCTGCTCAGGCCACAAGAGTCATCACAAACCAGGTGGCTGGCCAGCTTGGTACTTACTACGGAGGGCAGGGGGCAGGGACACAGGGCTCTTGCCATGCAGGTGGCTGTGGGCTCCCTTGGCACAGGGCATTATTCACCCCCTTTTGAGCTTGATCTTGGCAGCTGTAGGTCACCCAGCGCAGCCCTGGAAGGGCAGATCAAAGACTCAACCACCTCCACATGAGGTCCAGCAGAGCCTTAGGCAAGCCTTGCCCTGGGCCTCACCTGCCCCACAGCTCACTGAGCAGGGTCCACGTATAGCAGTCCATACCCAAACGGCTTCCTGCTTCAGTTGAAAGTAGGTAAAGGTGATGTCTGGGTGTGTAAGATCCCCATATTCCTCCCTATATCGTCTGTACACCTACATCAGGACAGATGAGAGCTCAGGCCCTGAACAGGCACACCCTGGGATCTCTGCCACACCCGCCTGTCCCAGAAGCATTCCAGCACTTCATTTCTCCAGTTCCCATGTTCCCAGCAGGCCGACAGAACTTGAGTGTCAAGGAGCTTTGAGTAATGTGGAGCAGAACAGGTATGTACCAAAGAGGTAGTAGGTGTGGGTAGGGTATTATGGGAATGTTAATGAGGTGGGGGCAGTCTACAGCCAAGGAGGTCAGGAGTAGTGCCAGGGCAGAGAGTGGTACAGCAGAAGGGGTCCGGGCCGGGATGGAAGGTGAAGGCTCAGGCCATTTTAGCTTTGGTCCACTCTTGCATGCCTTTCTTAGCAGAGCACGCAGGGAACACACACAGAGGAGGCACTTCTTTGAGAACATCCCTACATGAAACCTTTCAGGGCCTCATGTGCTTCTGCCTCCCAAAGAAGAAGCAAGAGCCATCCTCCATCCCAAGAAGGGCCCCACATGCCAGCTGGGACAGGGACTCCTTGCTTGGTCTATGCCTCATCTCAGAGGACTGCCCATGGCCCATCCTTCGGCTTCACCATGCTTTCCTGGTTGCAGGGCAGTCCCTGATTCCAGCATAAAGTCTACCTTCTTTGATTCTCAGACCTCTGAGGCCTTCTGCATGCCCTGGATACAGGCACATTTTACACTGACTTGCAATACACTAATCCTGTGAGTGGTTCCTGCTGCATTTCACCTTACATAGAGCCCCACTTGTAGTAGGTTCCCAAATAACTACTGCAAGGATTGGTGAGTGAGTGGAAGAATTACAGACAAACAAGCAGATATTCAGAGCCACCACTGAAGGCCTGCTGACTCCCCACCCTGTCCCCCCTAGCCTGGCTGATCGGTGACCTGGATCTCCATGTCGTCCCGGACAGGTCCCCGGATGTGAATCTCTTCTAAGTGGGGCAGCCGGTCCTCAGTGAGAGTCACTCTGTACTCCACACGGCAGTCCTCCAGAAGGGAAGGGTATATGATGCTAGGTGAGATGCTGGTCTTCCCTGCCACAATGTAGTGCCCCTGGATCCTCACCGCTTTGAGAACAGGACCATCAGCACTATGGAGTAGTCACCATCCCTCCTCATAGGCCAGCATTCTGTTTAGTGGGATAGGGCCACTCTTGAAAGGACAGGGTTAAAGATGGTAGCAAGACAAGGGGCAGGAGCATCTCTGCCAACAGGGTCTAATCCCCAAACCACAGCCTTAGCTCCTTCCAAGGTTCCAAACCTGCCCCTAAGGAACTGGTCCTTCTGGTGTCTCAGTCAGATGGCATCTTCATTAACCAAACCCCTCCATAGCAATGCACACCTCTGGCACATACAACCCACCCAGGAGGCTTTTCCACAGTGGTTGCTCCATGCCTTTTTCTGGAAGCTGGTGAGGGTTGTGACCTCTGCCTTCACTGAGCATGCTCACATAAGGGTTCAGGCTCTAGGACCCAGGATCAAAACCCCTTCCATGGGGTCTAAGGTCAGAAGCTAGCCTCTGAGACAAAACAGAAGTCTCCCGGGACAGGATCTTCAAAAGGAGTCCTCTGGAAATTCTGACACTTAAAAGGTCAGATTCCTGGCATGGTCATCCTCTGGGAATAGGTTATGCCCAGGTGCTGGAAAGCAGCAGTTCCTGGGGCCTGCAGCTGTCAAGCCTAGTCTCCTCTATGCTTAGCTTCCATATTCCTTTTCAGGCAGTTTTAACCTGCATCCTCCCACCCTTCACCCGCCCTGGGAATAGCTTAGCTGTGAGTGCGGCAGCTCTTGACAGGGTCTGGGTGGTTGGGAGTCCCTTCCATCTTGCAGTTGTATCAGGGGTGAAGGCATCTCAGAGACTAAGACATAGATCGCTAAGTGCAGGAAAGGGTCCTTCAGTCATCTCACCCAAGTGTGTGAAGAGAGGCCTGCGGTTCACGATGTGCACGCTGGTCATGTTGGGAGTAACTGTCAGGAATGTGACATATTCTAGGGATAAGCAGAGCAAGAGGGCTGCTTGGTCTTCATGGTCACCTATACCACTGCCAAAGAAGACAATCCTAGCTGGACAGAGACATGAACAGTGTCATAGGGCTCGTTTCAGTGGCAATGAATCCACATCATGGTAAGAGGTCAACGCCAGGCCAAGGGACCATCTGAAGGGCCCTGCCAAGGCCAGGAGCATAGACCAGATCCAAGGCACAGCCAGAGAGGCAGGGCCCAAGTTCTCTGCTGATCTTGCACTCAGTGCTGGCAATTGACTTTTTACTTTTTTAATCTCTCTCTCTCTCTCTCTCTCTCTCTCTCTCTCTCTCTCTCTCTCTCTCTCTCTCTCTCTCTCTCTCTCTCTCTCCCCTTTTGTCCACTGTATCCTCCCTGCTGGGGCTCCTGAGTGGGAAGGAAGAAGTGACCTGACAGTTATTCGGGGTGCTACTTGTTCTCTCGGGTTTTTCCCCCCTCTCATCACAGCTGCAGTGAGGGAATTACTGGGGTGTTACAATCCTGTGTGCAGAGGCAATGTTGTTGGAGTTTGAGCCTGCCATGAGAAGACATCAGAGAAGGAAGAATGAACTGAAATACTCAGGAAGGTACCCAGAGCTGAGCCAGCATGTGGGTGCTGTGGCCTGAGCAGCCCAGGTTAACACTTTGGAGGCTGGATCCCTGCAGACTGCTGGGAAACCCACCCTCCACGCAGGGCAGCCTACCTCTGGCTCTCCCAGCTGTGAAAGAGCCATTCTGTTTACTGCAAGTGCTGTTGTCTCCTCCGCACACCTGGCACGCATCCCAAACCTTCTGGGAGTCCATCTTGCCATCACAGCCAAAGGTCTGTGCAAAGGGGGGTGTTTGGAAGGCCTGTGTTATCGAGGTGCTGTTTTCTCTGGTGCCACAGCCCTGCTGGCTGTGAAACTCTGAGATTGACATAACTCTGTAGCTTCCCCACAGCTCCTGGTATCTACATAGCAACTGCACCTAGGGAGCTCCCATGATGACTTGCTCAAGGTCACAGTTTGGCCTGTAATATAGGCTGACTCCAAGTTCCATCCTGTTCCCAACAATACTCCCCAGCAGACACAGGGCAGCTCCATTGCGCTAGCCCCCATAGACCAACCTCCCCCTTCCCCTTGCCCCAGAGCCTTCTATGGGGAGAGGAAAGCCTTGACCACAAGGACAGAGGGGCACCTCGGTTGTCCACATGCCTACCCTGCAGCTGCCCAACACACACAAGCTCAGGGTCCCATCCTCCCGAGGACCACTTGGCACACAACGGGTCCCATCTAGGAAACTGTCTCCTCGGCTCACAATGAAGCTCTCTCCGACAGCCCAGCACATGTGTCTGCACAGAGTGTCCCCTAGGAGGCAGAGTGACAAGGAAGTCTGGTGTTCAAAGGTGAACAAGGAGGACAGTGAGGTAGGTAGGAAGTTCCTCTGGGACCTGCTATAGTAGCTCTGCCAGACCGGGTCTAAGTGGGCTTCCTCCCACCAGCCTCAGCTAACTATATGCTTTGCACGTGTAGCCAGGACCGCTGTTCTACCTCCAAGGCCATATTATATTCTGGTCTCATAACCATAGCTCCTGGATTATGAGCCAAGGATCACATTGGCATTTCCCCTGAAGTATCTCCCTGAATTCCTCTAGTGAGCCCAGAAGAAGACACTTCTAAGATAGAATTTCACTGCTTATTATCTGGGGAGGCAGACCAAGCTGGAGAGCAATACATGGCCTGTGGGATACCAGAGCATGAGTCAAGTCTGCCTAGCCAGCACTGGAGTGATGGAGGCTGGGGTGGTTAATGCTGATTCCAATTTGACAGGATCTGCAGTCACCACCTAGAAGACAAGCCTCTAGACATGCCATAAGAGGTGATCTGGATTGGGTTAGCTTCTGGTCCTACCTGTGAGGGACTCTCTTGATTAGATTAATTGAGGGGAGACCCATCCTAAAAATGGGCAGCATCATTTTACAGGCTGAGGTCCTGGACTACTAAATACGGAGAAAGCAAGCTGAAAACATCTCTCTCTCTCTCTCTCTCTCTCTCTCTGTGTGTGTGTGTGTGTGTGTGTGTGTGTGTGTGTGTGTGTGTGTATCTGCCTGTCTCTGTGTGTGTGCCTGTCTCTGTCTGTCTGTCTATCTGTCTCTTGTGTGTGTGTCCGCCTGCCTGTCTGTGTCTCTTTCTCTCCCTCTCTTTCTCTCTTTCACACACACACATGTATGTCTCTGTCTCTCTGTTTCTCTCTGTGTGTATGTGTCTGTGTCTGTCTGTCTCTGTCTCTGTCTCTCTCTGCTTCCTGGTTTCAGGTGCAATATGGCCAGCTGCCTCAATCTTCTGCTGATACAAGTTCCCTGCCACGATGGACTGTACCCTGGAACTGTGAGTCAGAATAAGCCCTTCCTTCTGGAAGTTGCTTTTGTTGGGATATTTTATCTTTTATCTCAGCAGCAGGACAAATAACTAAGACACTGGCCAACCCCAAGAGCTCTGCCTTGCTCCCCCAGGCCCCACAGCCCACCTTGACTATACTGCACAGCGGCGTCCCAATGGTAGAAGGAGGCACTGCCTTGGGAAAGGTGTAATGGCTGGCTGTCAGTCTGGGAACACTGTTCGGACATGAACTCCAACTGAGTCTTCTCACAAGCCTGGCCAGAGGAGGCAGAGGACAGGTAGAGGCAGGGTTCTTGCCAGTGGGAGACAGCATGCACTCTGCATGCAGGGTCAAGAGATGGGGATAACTTAGCCCGGGGTTGTGCTTTATCTCCGCTCAGCAGTCTGTGGGTGACCAGATCTGCCTCTCTTTGCCCATGGGAAAACTCCAGATAATCTGTAAAGGACACAGCAGCAGCAGGAAGAAAAAACAGGAAATAATGTGGCACTTGGGGCCTCTGGTTCCAAGTCCTGAACCTGAAGAACTGTGGTTGAGCTGTATATTCTGTTCACAGGTGCATGTAGGGCAGGAAATGAGGAACTGTGACCCTGAAATGCCGCATTGCCTCACTGTGCTGGGAGGAAAGGACTGAAGTTGACCAGATAGGAAGAGTTGACAACCACAGCTCCCTCCTCTCAAGGTCTGACGAGGCCTTGGGTATTGAGCAGAAGGCAAGAAGTAGGACAGGGGTGTGTTATCACGTGTTGAATGCTCCGGCAGCTGGCAGCCATCTGATGCAGAGAATAGATTCTACCACCTCATGACAGCTAGGACAACTAGACTAAAAACTCACATGCAGGAGAGGACATGGAGACACTGGAACCCTCACACAGTGTTGGTAGGAATACAAAATGGCAAAAATGGCCCCGTTGTAAAGAGAAACAGTTTGTTAAGCTTAAAACTAGGTGTGGTGGTGCACACCTTTAATCTCAGCACTTGGCATGCAGAGGCAGGTGGGTCGCTGTGTATAGTGAGTTCTAGAACAGCTAGGTGACATAGTTAAACCCAGTCTCAAAAAAAAAAAAAAAAAAAAAACGGGGAGTGGTCTGGAACAATGTCTGCCTCAATCTCCTGCTCAGCAGTTAGACACACTTACTGTTCTTGTAGAGGACTCAAGTTTGGTTGCAAGCCAGCACCCGTGTCAGGTGATTTACCTGTAACTCCAGGGGATCCCACAGCCTGTTATGGCCTTCAAAGGTACTCACACACATGTGAGTATACACATAGAGAGTCATGCACACATGACACTTGGAAAAGTTAAACATGGCTTTTTAAAAAGAGGAAAAAGTGTAAGTTAAGCATAGTATTTCTATACAAGCAGCAATTCTACTTTTAGGCGTTACTGTGGTTTTCAAAACCCATGACGATGCTTGGTGCCCTCATGAGGAAGGACCAGGAGGTGTGGCCTTGAGAGGTGTTGAGGGCTCAAGGCCTCTGCCTGAATAATTAGGGCTGGACTCTTATGAAAGGGCCGAGGGCTCTGTTGTAGGACTTCTGTCACTTTTGTCTCCTCTGTCATATGAGACCATGTATTCCGAGCCTCTGGAGGACAGGGCAAGAGGGACCATCTGGGAAGTGGAAACCAAGTTTGCCAGGACCTTATCTTGGACTTCCAGACTCCAGAATCATAAGAAATTAATTTCTGTTGTTGATAAGTTACTCTGTCTGTGGTGTTTTGTCACTGAAAACTCAAGCCAACTCATTGACAGCAGCAGGGTTCGCTGAAAAGTACAAATGACCCAGACAACAGAAATGATGACAGAAAAACAGAGGCATTCCGGTCATATCATGGACTGTTCTCCAGCCCCCCCAAAAGGAAGGGAAGTACTGACTCATGGTACAACATGGACAACACTGAAAAATGTTATACTGTATCAAAGGAGCAGGCTCTTGCATGATGATGCTCACATGAGATGTTCAGAACAAGTAGTTGCATAAGACAGAAAACAGCTTGGAGCTGCTGGGGTGGAGAGGGGAGACTGCTTACTGGTGTGGGGTGTTCCCCTGAGGTGAAGTTTGGAACCAGATATAATCAGTGGTTACACAGCACTCCCGGGGTGCTCAATGCCTCTGCACTGTGAACTTTGGAATGGCTGACTAAACAGGATGCATTTCACATCAGTGTCTGAATGAAGCACTTCTCACTGTGTGCTCCTGGGGCCTCATACCCAGAGTCAGTTCTCGTCACAGAGATGTCGTCTCAACGGTGAATAGAAACTCTGGGAGGGAAGCGGTGACATGGGGGCTTTGCTAACCACCATTTCCTTCAAAGGGAAGGCACGAGCCAGTCAAAAGGGAGGTCAGTCAATCTGGTGCTAACTCTTATCCACCATCCCAGCTAGGAGACCCACCTACCTGTGTGTTGCACATCTTAGCCTGGAGGTCCTCACCCACACATGTACGTCCCCCAAAGGCAGGCCTGGAAATGCCCACAAAACAAAAAGGGGTGAAAAGTGACCACTGTTGCAACCAGAGAATGGGGTGCAGCCACCTTCCCTACGGGGAAAACCTTCTGTGGGTACCTGGGATTGTTACACCACCGTCTCCTGGTAACCACACCTCCTCCACAGGATCGAGAGCAAGGACTGGGGGGGCCCCAGCTAGACCAATGTCCATGTACTGCTGCCACAGGGGTTAGCTCGGCTAGAGAGCGGCAGCGACCCTTGGAGCACCACTGCAAAACAAGACAGCTTTGTCTCCCTCACCCACAGGGACCCAGCACACATAGGATGTGGCTAGTACACAGGGACACTAACACCTGAGGGATGCTCCGGAACACAAAGTTCCCCATCACACATAGAGACTTCCAACACAGGGACCATATCCCTCATTAGAACCTCTATCTAACACATGGGGATCTCACTGACAGGGAGCACCCCAACACAGAGACCCCCCCCAGTACATAAGGGCTGCACACAGAGTCTTCCAATAGACATAGAGACCTCCCAAAGCATACAGAGACTTCATACACAGGTACCCTCCACAGAGGGACCTCCAACATGGGGCACACAATCACACACCTCATTCTGTTTGGGAGTAAATGCTAACGGGAAGACATCAGGCTTCCAACAGAAGAAGGGTCTGGATACCCAGTGAAGATGGAAAATTAACCTCAGGGAGATGGTACAGGCAATGAAGGCAAGGGCAGTCTGAGTGGGGATGCCTGGACCTTGTCGTCACTCAACAAACTCCTCTCTGTGTGAGAGAGGGCTGGAGAATGGAATGGGTAAGGAGTGCTACAGTGCCCTGGAGTGAGAGCTCAGTAAGACCCTACTCAGGAAAAGCATGGGGAGTGAAGAGCAGAGGCTCTGGGTGTTCTCTCCCCTCTCTCACCCTCACCACCGCCCCCAACACAGACTCTCTCCTTCCTTCCTCCCTCCTCCTCCCTCCCTCCCTCCCTCCTCTCTCTCTCTCCCTTTCCTTCTCCCTCTTTCTCTAGCTCCATCCTTCATGCTTCTCTAACCTTCTCCACACCACATTCTGTCCCATCCAGGAGAGGAACAAGGAGGCGGCTGCAGCTGCTTTGGTCCCGGGGGTCTGTGTGGCAGGATAGAGCCTGGCATACATCCTAAGAGAGATGGACAGGTGGTCCACTGAGAGGCTGTCTGCTTAGTGTCCCTCCCAGACCAGTCAATACTCCGCTCTGACAAGTAGCCTGGGAGAACAAACACAGCTGACTGATTTGTCCATCAAAAGCGAGGACGGACCTTGCCAGGGCCCGTCATCATGCTTCTAGGGGCCATGAAAATGTCTTAATATTTAAAACCAGAAGAGAAAAACAAACTTTCAAATAAAAGTAAGCATTCTGGAGTTGGAGAGATGGCTCAGTGGTTAAGAGCATTGGCTGCTCTTCCAGAGGATCCTGGTTCAATTCCCAGCACCCACATGGCCGTTCACAGCTGTCTCCAGTTCCAGGGGATCTGACACTCTCATACAGACACACATGCAAGCAAAACACCAGTGCCCATAAAATAAAAATAAATTATTTTTAACAAGAAAAGAAAAATAGACATTCTAACACAAATCAATAAACATAATAATTCAAAGATTTTAGCCGGGCGGTGGTGGCACACGCCTTTAATCCCAGCACTCGGGAGGCAGAGGCAGGTGGATCTCTGTGAGTTCCAGGCCAGCCTGGGCTACGGAGTGAGATCCAGGAAAGGCACAAAGCTACACAGAGAAACCCTGTCTTGAAAAACCAAAAAAAGAAAGAAAAAAAAGAATTCAAAGATTTTGCATTTTATAAAAATACTAAACATAACTTTTTAAATGTAGCCCAGGCTATCCTTGAACTCCTCATGTAGCCAGGGATAGCCTTGACTTCTAATTCTCTTGCCTTCATCTCCAGAGTGCTGGGATTACAAGTATGTGCCACCATACCCAGTTTGTGTGGTTCAAGACCAAATTTGGGGTTTTGAATATGCCAGTGGAGCAAGCACTTTACCTACTAAACTGCATTCTCAGTCCCTAAACATAATTCTTAATGCTTTTGTGGAAGGAGGGAGGGAGGGGCTCACCTGGACAAAGGGGGAAGGTCCTACACCTCCTAGGGAGGAAGTCTGACTTAGGGGACCCTGGCCTTTCCGTTTACCACCTCTTGTGAGCCAAATTCCTACTCTGTATGGAGCCTGGAGGCCTCTATGCTGAGCCCACCCTATAGGTTAGATGCCTTTGTGCCAGGTACCACTACATAATCTGTAAGGCAAAGTCAAACAAAACTGTGGGGACTTTAGTTTTAAAATGTTTAATACTTCCAAGAGGTGGGTGAGAGAAATGGGTAAAAGTGATTATGACTCAAACTTAATGACCTGAGTTTAATCCCCATAACCCATGATGAAAAGAAAGAGTCCACCCCATCCTGGGCAGGTGTCTCCATGACGGGTAAGGTGACCTGTTGACGTCCCACGCAACCTAAGTCAGAAGCTCATTTTTTAGTAAAAGGGGGACCTGGAGGGTCCTGGCCCCCGTTTCGGGTAACTGTTGCCTTGTTTGCTGACTTTGACCTTGATATCCTCCCTATGCTAAATTCCCTGCCAGGTTCCACCCTCCTGAATGCTTAAGGGAAGTTCCTTGTCTGTGTATCCTGCATAATGGGCATTAACAGCTTAGATGCAAGATTGTAAAACATCGGTAGTGAACTTCTGCCCTCCGGGGTTCTCCCATTGTGCTGTAAGCCTGTATTTAAGACCTCTTCCCTCCTTCAATAAACGGCATTGGGCATTAAAATAAATAAATAAATAAATAAATAAATAAATAAATAAATAAATAAATAGTCCACCCTGTACAGATGTCCTCTCATCTTCACTAGTGTACTGTGGCACACTCACACACATGCATGTGCGCACATTTCTTATTTAACAATAAACTAAACACAAGCATTAGATAAGATCAGACACATAGCTGGTGGTTGTAAACTGTGCGTTAAACCAAGTGAGCCCTGGTGTGGTTCTCAGTTGTGCCTGGCCTCCAGCAGGTGGGGCCATTGTACCAGGGGGAACTGAGTAAGGTAGCGTGAGGCTGGGTGTTAGTAAAGGGTGGACTCACCAGACCCTCCCTGGAGAAGGTGCAGGCAACAGCCCCAGAGCCAAAAGCCACACGGCACTGATCATCTGCACTGTAGTAGAGGCCGGGCTGCACCACCAGCTGGGGCCATGAAAGTCCTGCTTGTAGCCCAGGCGGGTCCCGGAAGCAGTGCATTTGCCCTGTGCTGTGACAGATCAGGCAGGGCTCAAGACCTGGGTGGACACCAGTGGGGTCAGGGTGAAGGAGTAGATGTGGGGCTGGATACTGTTAGCTGGGTAGAGGCCCAACAGAGGGGCATAGAATGGAGCAGGTGGAGGGCTGAAAGCGAGATGGAGAAGGCCATGGACCAGTGGACAGGAAATGGCCTGGCATGGAACGGTGGAAGTAGGAGGTAGGGGAAGCAGAGAACAGGGGCAATTGAGGGATGGGCCCAGGAGTGGGACGGAATAGAGGAGTGGGTTCAGGGAAGTGGAAAAGAATGATGGAGAAGGGATGGGAGGGGATGGAGGAACCGATGGGGGAGTAGAGTGGGCTCTGGGACAGGAAGTAATGGCAGCAGAATGGAAGGGGGTAAAAGCTGCTGGGCAGGATGAGTGACAGCCAACCCTGTCTAGGTGGAGGCTGTACCTGAGCAGATGCTGCAGCTGCCTTTGGCTGCAGGTGGACCACTCCAGGGCCCCTCCAGTAGATACTGCACCATCAGATGCCATCACATGGCCACTGGTCTCACAGGTGCTGCCGCTACCTGGAGTACCATCATGGTCCAGGCCAAAGCTGTGGGGAGAAGAAACTCAGAGTAGCCAGCTGGAGCTGGGGCTGGGCCAGGGCCACCTTTGTGTCCTCTGGACCTGCTACTAGCTAAGCCGGCCCAACAGGCATCCTGGAGGCCCTGCCTCAGTTTCCCACCTCTCTGAGGAGGGGAGGAGAGCTGGTTCAGCAGGGTGAACATTTGGCTAAAAAGCTTTGATGATAGACTAAGTGACCTAATCCATGGTTACAAGTCTAGGGTGTAGAAGTGGGAACTGGGTGCCAGGTAGAGGCCTGAGGGCCAGCAGATTACTCTTCTGATAGCTGATGGCCTGGGTGTGTTCAGCTTTGGGAAATCTATACACACTGCAGCTGTCTGTGGTTAAGAAGCCCAGAAGCTGTGGCTGTTTTCTTTTCTGTTCCTAGTTAGTGGTTTGGTTTTTTTTTTTTTTTCAGGCAAGGCCTGAATATCCTGACACTTCAAACAAGCAGACCCCAGGAGCCTAAGAGGCTGGGGGTGGGGCAGTGCAGGAGCTGCTGGGGTCAGATCCTCTGGGAGATCTGGAGAGCCCCTGGGAGCCTACACCACTTCAGAGAGTTGGTGGGCTGTCAGGAGGGAAATTCAATTTTTCACTCTGCAAGTTTCCAAATCATTTGATATGTTTACAACAAGTGGATTTTATTTGCCTAACTTAAAAAAAAATCCTAAAAATCAAAAAGAAAAAAAAAAAAAACCATGTCTCTCTAGATAAAATGATAATACACAGGAATAAAGATTTGCCCACAAGAATACACAATGCACACAGCAGCTCTGTGTGGACTCAGAAACACCCTAACTGTCCAAGCAGAGGAGATTAAGTTGTGGTATGCACAAAAAAAAAAAAAGTAAGAGATCTGTGAGCTGAGAAACATTTGAGATATACAGTTATATTAAAAGGCAAGAGTTATGTGGCCTGGTGACACATACCTGTAATCCCACCCAGCATATTGACAGATGGCCAAGCAGCCATGTGAAACCACAATAGAATCAAAATAACAATGTATGCCACAAGCCTGGTGTGTGCGTATTAATGACCAAAATTAAATATAAATCTGAAGAGACATTTCCATAAGTGGTGTGTGGTAGTTTAAATGAGAAAGCCCCATCTCCCCGCCCCCCCAATATATTTGCATGTTTAATCCCTAGCTGATGAACTGTTTCGAAAGATTCGGAGGCACGGCCTTTTCAGAGTAGGTGTGTCCTTGGAGGAAGTGTGTGTCTGAAGGTGGGCTTTGAGGTTCCACAAGTCCATGCCAGGCCCAGTGTCTCCCTCTCTCTGCTTGCCTGCCTGTGGATCAGGATGTAAAGCCCTCAGCTATTGCTCCAGCACCATGCCTGTCTGTGTGGCACCATGCTCCCTGCATGGACTAACGATCATGGACTAACCAACCCTCTGAAACTGTAAGCGAGACCCCAGATGCTTTCTTTTGTAAGAGTTCCCTCGGTCATGATGTCTCTTCACAGCATTAGAACAGTAACCAAGACATGGCAGGACTTAGGATAATCTTCAGTCTGTTTTTTTACTGGAATTTCCTACAAGACTTATTTTCTGGCTGTCTCGGTGGGTAAAGGCACTTGCTACACAAGCCTGATGACCTGAGTTCAATTCCCATCACCTATGTAAAAGTGAGAATCAATGCCACAAAGTTGTTCTCTGACATTTACATGCATGCTGTGGCATGACCCTCACCCCACATCTTCACACACACACACACACACACACACACACACACACACACACACACACACTACATTTTTTAAACTTTAAAAAGTAAATTAATTTCTAATTGCTGTTTATTTAAAATAGTTTATGTTAATCACTCAGTAACATCAAGAAGTAGCAGCTTCCCCCTGCCTCAGTTTTCCCTTACCAAGACACTTGGGCTGTAGGTACAGGCTTCTGACAGGCTCTGCAAAGGTTTGCTGCCTGCCTAGGCCACAGCCCTCCACCCTGGGTGAGACCAGCTCTCCAACCAGTCTGGGGATAGCTGGTGAGACCACATACCTGTGCCCAATCTCATGAGCAATGGTGACCCCTAGGTCGAAGCCAGTGTCCTCAGTGATGAGGCAGCTCCAGGAAGGGGAGCAGGCACCTCCAAGCTGGGTGACCCCCCGAACCTGCTTGTTTCCATCAGGCAACTCCAGATCAAACCTGGGTAAGAGAAAAAGATTCACATGGATGGCTCCACCAGCCATGTTGCTGGGGCAGAAAGCAGGGAAGGTCATAGTGCAGCCCTCCTAAGCAAGCAGCATCCCTGTGGGGATCTCAGATACCTGGTTATATAGAGAATCAGGTCAGCATGACTTGGATCTCTGTCATCGTGGGGGTTGACTGTCTGGCTCCACTCACAGACACTCATCAGGGATGAGGTGATGTTGGTCGTGATATTTGGAGTACTCTAGGGAACAACCAAAGAGCCGATTTCTATGGAAGTGGTACCAAGGGTGGTGCTGACTGTTGCCAGCATGCTTCTCAGTTGGTCCATATTATATATAGCAGTCTTATTGCTACCCCCGCCACGTTACAGACTGGAGAAACCAAGGCTCTGAAAGGCTTCAGGAGAGCTGTCTGTCCAGCTGAGCCCCACAGTTACCACCCAGTTCCCAGTTCTTCAGGAAAGGACGGAGGGAATAGAGTCAGGGTTCGTACCCACCTCTGAGTCAGAGAGAATGACAAGCTTCACCAGGTGCACCTGGAACTGAACCCCCAGGGATGGGTCCCTCAGCAGTTCTGACCCCTGCGGAAGGCAACAGGGGAGGGGGTGAAGCAACACACATGTTGGGAGTGGGTCCAGGAGCCCCAGTGGCAGGGTCAGTGGTGAAGAGGGGGCGCCATGGAGGCTAGGGGGTGGCAGGAAATCGTGTTTGTGTGCTGGGAGCCAACTGTAGATGGTCAGATGAGTCTCTCTAGCTCACGCCTTGGGAAAACCGACTAACAAAAAGAGCTGATTGCCGGCCTGAGTTTGAATCTAAACTCTGCCTCTTCCTAGCTGTGGGCTCTGGTTACTAATCACTAAGTCTCGGTTTCCTTATAAGCTTTCTGTTTTATAAGATGGAGGTCAAGCCTTGACTGGTTAGCAGATTCAGAGCATAAAACTAGATATTCTGGTCAGGTACCACCTGACCAGCTCTCCTAAGACGGTGGTTCTCAGCATTCCTCACGCTGTGACTCTTTAATACGGGTCCTCATGCGGTGGTGACCCCCAATCATAAAATTATTTTCTTTGCTACTTCATAACTGTAATTTTGCTACTGTGATTAATCATAAAGTAAATATCTGTGTTTTCTGATGGTCTTAGGCGATCCCTGTGAAAGGGTCATTTGATCCCCTCCCAGAGGGGTCATGACCCACAGGTTCAAAACCACTGTCCTAATGGCATGTGAATAACTCAAGGGAGCCTGGGTTTTTGGCAACTTATAATTGGAGGGAGGGATCCCAAAATTTAAAGACAATGGTTTCTAATTGGCAGAGGTAATCATTTCACCGAGAAAACATCACCTCAGGGGCTTGTAGACAAAAAGCCTACCCAGGTTTGTCTGGACTTAGACCACACCTGTAAATGGGAGGGACATGCTGGGGTAAACAGCGTGGTGGCAGGGGACCTTTGGCCCTGAGACTGGTGAGGTGGATGCAGAGGACTTTTCCTTTCACCTGAAAAGGGTGACCAGGCTGATACTGAAGCCATTCTAGAGAAAGCGACAGTGGCTGGGACCAAATGCTGCCCCAGAGCCACAACCAGGATCTCTTCATGACCCCATCCCCACCCCATCTCTGCAGCAGACCTGAGAAGAGGAGACTGGAGCTGTCAGTCACTGGCTGGAACTAGTTTCTAGAGTCCTAGATTTTTAATTTTTAATTTTTTTTAAATTTAAAATGTTTTTTGTTTTTTTGAGATAGGGTTTCCCTAGATTTTTTTAAAAATTGTTTTACATTTATTTTTTAGTGTATGTGCACACATATGGAGGCCAAAGGACAGCCTGCAGGAATTGGCTGTCTCCTTCCACCGTGCGGGTTCTGGGATTGAATTCAGGTTGTCATGCTTGGGGGCAAGCATCTTCACCTACTGAGCCATCTCTTCCTTCCTTCCTTCCTTCCTTCCTTCCTTCCTTCCTTCCTTCCTTCCTTCCTTCCTTCCTCCCTCCCTTCCTTCCTCCCTTCCTTCCTTCCTCCCTCCTTCCCTCCTTCCCTCCCTCCCTCCCTTCCTCCCTTCCTCGCTCCCTCCCTTCAGTGTGAATTCCTGAAGGCCTGGAACAGTTGTATCTCACATGTGTCCTGTGTGTACTGTATGGATGTTGGTACAGTGTTGTCCTCTCCAATATGTCCTGTGTGGACTGTATGGATGTTGGTACAGTGTTTCATGTCCTCTCCAATATGTCCTGAGTGGACTGTATGGATGTTGGTACAGTGTTTCATGTCTTCTCCAAGAGAAACTTGATATTACTTGGATCTTGGCTGACAAATTACCTTTCTGACATAAGGGTTAATGGTGTGAGGCACCTCTGCTCTCCCAACCATTAGGTACAGGGAGGAGGTGTCCGTAAGAAAGGGAGCCTCATATCTTCAGCCAGAATAGCAGCTGTTCACACCTAGCATGCTCATCTGCCCTGTGCCTCTTTAAGAGACCTGAAGAGAGAGCAGTGTGTGCAGACTGCACCCACTGCTGGCCAAATGAACTGGGAGGCAATGGGGAGGATTCCGGTATTGGGAGGGATTCCCTGACTTTGTGCACCTCTGCTGCGGTGGAGACAGGGATGGGGGTAGGGCAGCTGTGACCTTTCTTTCTCTTCAGGGCCACGAGCTCCAGCAGACCCTCGGTTTCTGTGGGACAGTTCAACACACTGAGTTCAAATGGACTGACTTTGGGTCACAAGCCCTGAGGGTGGGGCACTATGTCCAGAGGCTCAGAGGGAAAGCCCACAGACCCACCAGGGGCCTGAGCCCACCTTCCTGTACCAGCAGCCATTGCCAGCCCACCACCACTCACGATATTGAGGTTGGTGAGCGCGTAGCGCTCTGTGTCCTCCTGGTGAACCTGGTAGACGTCGGGACCCACAGCTACCAGCAGTTCCAGGTGCAGAATGTCCCCCAAAGTCCTTCTCCATCTCAGTCTCTGAAGGTGAGAGGAAGGATGGCCTAGAGGGGGAGGAGAGAAGGCTGAGGACAAAGGTTTTTTAAAGACAGATGCTAGGGAGCTAACAGAGAGGGGGTGGCCAGTCCCTGAAGTCAAAAGGTCGATTTCATGTCCACTCCCAGGGCCCAGTTCTCAGCCTGAAGGAGGTGGTGAGGGAGTGGGCAGGAGGCCCAGCTCAGGCTGGAAAGAGAAGGTGAAGAGTTCTAGGACCCCACAACGTGGCTCCCCAAGCCTGTTCTCATTGACAAAGGGGAGCAAGGCCTCAGTTAATCGAGGCACTGAGGAGACAGGATCCACCTCCCTTTCCCTTGTTCCTCCCATCTGGGACCCTCCTGCTAAGGAGGAGGAGTCCAGGATTCTTTTTTTGTGAGAAGCAGGGGGGAATACAGGCCAGGAGACAGGCCCCAGAGTGAGCAGACTGCAAGTTGCCTACTGTCTTTGAGCCTTGCCTAGGGGCTGGATCAGTTCTTGGCAAAGTAGTCTCAGCCTTGAAACAGATGTTCCGTAAACAAGCCAATAGAAAGAACACCTCTGGTCCTGGACTATAGGAGTCCAGATCAGTGCTCGCTGTCTTCTGGAGCACAGGTCTAGCAGCCCAGGTAAGAGTGTCCTAGCCCTTCAGGAGCCCAGCCGTAGGAGGGCCGGATGATCTAGACATTGTGCATCCCACCCAGGGCACAGAAAAACTGGTTGCAAGTGGAAGGACATCCCCTAACCCTCAGTACCCTGACTGCTAGCCCCATTCATCTCTGGACCTTGCCAGTGTTTGTGGTGTATGATGGAGGCCAGAAGTCAACTTCAGAAGTTGTTCCTTGGGAGCCATCCATCTTGTTTTTTAAGACAAGATCTCTCACTGAGACCTGGGGCTCATCAATTAGGCTAGGTTGGCTGGCCAGCAAGCCCCAGGGATTTTCCTGACTGTGGTCAGGACAGATTAGGAGATATACCATTTGTGACCAGTTTTTCTGTGGTCTTGAAAGGATGCACACTGTGTTCTGCCTCTACTCAGCACTGGAATTAGAAATGTGTACTACCATAGCCAGCTTTTCTATACGGATGCTAGGATTAGAACTCAGGTCCTCAGGTTTCCACAGAAGCACTTTACCGAGTGAGCTAGCTCCCCAGCCCATCCCCCAACCATGGTTTTAATCAAAATCACCAACTGCTCTTCTGGGAAAAGGGATGGCATACTGAGAGACAGGACCATAGGTCATGGGAAAGCCTTCACCACGAGGAGATCTACAGGACAGGAGCCAGAGTTGCTTGGCCTGGCACCTACCTTGTTCCCATGGAAGGAATAAATGTTTACAGCTATGGCCAGAAGTGACAAGTTCCTGAAAATCAGCCAGCCCCGCAAAGGCCATCCACAGGCCCAAGAGGCCAGCCAATGAACGCCCCCTCCCTTGAGATACTAAACAGAAGCCTGGAGTCAGGACTCCAGTGCAGCCAGAACACCCAGAATGGCTTTTATCAAGTTGGCAGGAAGCAATGAAGCTAATTAACAGAGAGACTCAAAGTTTCTTTGACCTCTTCCTTCCATGGCCACCAGAACGCTCACTGACCCAGTGAGAACTCCCTCAGTCCCCCACCCAGGGCTCAAGAAATTCCCCTGCCTCAGAGCATGTCAGCTACCTGTGAGTGCAGCAGCGTGGTGACCAAAGTAAGAGGATACCTCCTTGGGTTCCAGACCTTGAAGAAAACTCTGCAAAACAAAAAGACATAGAGGAAGGAGGAAGGAGACGAGGCCAAGGAAGAGAGGATGATGGGAGATATAGGGACAGAGAATGAGGGGCCATGCCTAGTTAGGGAGCAGAGGAGAGCCGTCCACACAGGTCTGCAACAAAATGGAGTCTGTCACCTTCCCCGGAGTAAACGAATTTCCTTTTCTGCCAGCAGAAAGACCACAGCCACTCTACCCAAGAGCTTTGGCGGTCCCTTCTCCCAGGTGATACCAACACTCAACACGAGATCTTATGTAGTCCCACCTTCTGGAAATCAGGGAGCCCCCAGCAGCCCAGAATGAAGAAGGCACCAGTGAGGACTCCTCTGATACTGGCAGCATGAACAGGTTGGCATGTCACCCATAGGCAAAGTTGGCTCATCCTTAGAAAAGGCAGGCGATGGCTGGACAGGAACCCCGGTGACTGGAAGTCTCAGTTAGTGTGGAATGTGACAGACTTCACTTGCTTGCTGGGCGGGACATCAGGCAGTGTTTACTCTTGGGATCTTCCTCCCAGGGCAGGGCTAGGGGGAGGAGGGGGCAGCAAGCAGCTTCTGCTAGGAACTTGCCTAGGATGGCTCCCTGTGCAGAGCACCCCAACTGTGTCCTGCACCGGGAAAGTCCTTCTGCTGTGCACACCTAGCCTCCTGGGAGGGTCTGGTCTAGCAGTTCAGTCTGAACAGGAGCAAGCTCTGGGTGGGACGGTCGGGATCTGGGCTCATGTGAAATGACATGCCCTAGATGGTTGGAACCTCTGACTGACCAATGAGAGGACGCACTAAAGACATGGCAGCTCTGGTCCCTCAGCCTGCCTTTCCTCTGGCACCTCGTTCCCAGGCTGTCTCTAGATCTCCTGTCCCTTCACCTTTGCAGAGTTTGTGCCTCTCACTGCACTGCACTGCACTGCACCGTACACCCTGTGCCCTCACCTCATTTCTCTGCCCTCATCCCTACCATTTTGACACTGTCCACCTGGTCTGCACCTGCACCTGGTGGGAGAGTCACGGAGCAGGCGAGTGGCCCCACATCTCTGTCTGTCACGAACTGCCTGGCATCCCCCTGCACCTCCTGGGAACCTCTCATTCACTCGCTCCAAAACACTCTTGCATACCCTGCATCCTGCCAGTTCCCCCATTACAGTTTGGGTCTTTGGGGGAGTTAATCTTAGTTGTCAACAAGACTGGATCTGGAATAGATTAAGAGACACACCTCTGGGTGGATCTGAGGGTACTTTCTGGGACGATCAACTGAGAGAAAGCCCTTCTCCAGAGTGGGCAGCACTTCCTGGCAGCAGCCCTGGTATAAAGAAGTCCAAGGAAAAAGCAGAGCTGATTTTGCCTGCCACTTTCACCCCTTGCTCACGAGTACAGGCATCTTGTTGCTACTGCTACCACCACCACCATCCTTCCATGACATCAGAATCAGCTGCTTTGACTTTTTTTAATAACTTATTTATTCTTATTTAATTTTGTACATCGGTGTTTTGCCTGCATGTATGTCTGTGTGAGGGTGTCAGATCTTGGACAGTTGTTAGCTGCCATATGGGTACTGGGAATTGAACCTGGGTCCTCTGGAAGAGCAGTCAGTGCTCTTAACCACTGAGACATCTCTCGAGCTCAACTTTTTAACACAGAATGAAGACCAATGACTCTCCAGGAATCCCCCAGACTTTTAATGCCAACTTGATCTGGTGGCTCATCCAACCTCATGGCCTGAGCAGTTACCAGGTTCTCAGCCTCCTGAGTACACAGACAACCATGGTTGAACTACCTTACTGTGGTAGCTATTCTTGGTTGTCAACTTGACTACATCTGGGATTAACTAAAAACCCAAGTTGCTGGGCACTCCTGTGAGGGGCTTTGGTTAACTGGATCATTTGAGGTAGGAAGACCCTAAATCTGGGTCATGCCTTCTCATGGCAGCCTATATAAAGACAAGGGAGAAAGAAGCTTTTGCTCTTTGCCTGTGTGTCATTGCTCTATATTCTCTAGATTTTGATGGTGTATACTGAAGATCAAGACTGGCTGAGATATCCAGCCTCACGGCTGAACAACTACTGGATTCTTTGACTTTCTGTTGGGAGATAGCCATTGTTGAACTGGCTGGACAACAGCCTGTAAGCCATTCTAGTACATTCCCTTTAGATAGATAGACAGACAGACAGACAGATAGATAGATAGACAGATATACTCATTCCATTAGTTCTGTTCCTTTAGAGAGCCCTGACTAATAAACTAGCCCACATCATGTAAGTCAATCTACAAAATGACCTTTGTGATATATATTCATGCCACCCATTCTCTTCCTCTAGAGAACCCTGACCACATAGCTCTCAAATGTTCCTTCAAGGCCCGTCAATTGAAAGCTTGATCACCAGCCTGTAGGAGCTGGTGGAACCTTTCAGAGATGGGACCTCGTGGGAAGAAATTGAGTCATCGAGACAGTGGCCTTTAAAGATTACTGGCTCTTTCCTCTCCAGCTCGTGGACTTTTGATGGTCATGAGGTAAGCAGCTTTTCTGTCATAAACTTCTGCCATGATACTCTGCCTCACTACAGGTTCTAAACAACTATGACTGAAACCATAGGCTAAAATTAACCTTCTCTCCTTATGAAGTTGGTTACCTCAGATATTTTGTCACAGTGATAGGACACTGACCAGCACCTCCCAAGGATGATTACCTTTGTCTCCCCAGCTAAATCTGCAGCCTCTCTTAGCCCTGTACAGGGAGGATATGCACCCACCTGTGCTGGGCCAGACTGCCTCTGGGTCCTTTCCTACCTTCTTGCTCCCTTGAGGCATATATTCTAATGAAAAAAAAATTTATTTTTATTTATGTGTGTATGTGTGCCTGCTTGCCTGAATGTGTACCACCATGTGAGTGCAGGTGTCCACAGAGGCCCAAAGAGGGTGTTGAATCCCCAGTGTAGGTGCTGGGACCCAGATGCTGATCCTACGCAAGAGCAGCAAGAGCTCTTGACTACTTAATCACCTCTTCAACTCCTAGACTTTCAATGTTCATTTTTGAATCATGTGTATATGTGATCACTATGTGGGGGTATGCATGTAAGTGCAGTGCAAGAAGCATTCTAAACTGATGAGCCATGTTTTACAGTCCCTCTCTCTGATGTTTTGCTCCTTCGGCACTCCTCTTTCCCACTTGCATTTTGCCTCTGCCCCTCCACTAGATTCGCCCACTCATTCACCCATATTACATACATTTATCTGAGCTCCTGCAATGGGTAAGAAAGGCACTGTACTAGACTCCAGAAAAGCAGCTATGAGTCAATCAGAGAACCACTTTGGCTGCTTGGGGAAGAGAATCAACAGCAAAGTAATCAGATAGACATACCATACAGTATACATAAAAGACCCTAAATAAATATAGCCAGGCGGTGGTGGCGCACGCCTTTAATCCCAGCACTTGGGAGGCAGAGCCAGGCGGATCTCTGTGAGTTCGAGGCCAGGAAACTCTGTCTCAAAAAAAAAAAAAAAAAAGACCCTAAATAACACCTTGCATTCTAACTGACCATAAAGATTAAAGCTAGATATCAACAACAAAAGAAGTGACAGAGAGTATACAAACTCAAGGAAGTTGAGCGGCTCACTACAGAATGAAAACTGGGTCAAGACAGAAACCAACAAGGAAATTTAAAAACTTTTTAGAACTGAATGAAAATGAAAGCACAACATACCCAAACCTATGGAACACAACGAAGGTGGTGCTAAGAGGCAAGCTCATAGTGCTAAGTGCCTACATAAAACAACTGGAGGTGTCTCATATTAGTAACTTAATGCTGAAAACTCTCAAAAAACAAGAAGAAATAATTGCCAGGCAGTGGTCATGCCTGCCTTTAATCACAGCACTCAGGAGGCAGGGGCAGGCGGATCTCTGAGTTCAAGGCCAGCCTGGTTTACAGAGTGAGTTCCAGGATAGCCAGGCCAAACAAATGCCAGGCGGCGGTGGCACATGCCTTTAATCCCATCACTCAGGAGGCAGAGCCAGGCAGATCTCTGTGAGTTTGAGGCCAGCCTGGTCTAAAGAGCAAGATCCAGGACAGGTACCAAAGCTACACAGAGAAACCCTGTCTCGAAAAACAAAAAACAAACAAACAAGAAGGAGGAGGAGGAAGAAGAAAAAAAAACAAGAACAAGAGGAAGAAATAACCAAAAAAAATAGTGGGGGTGGGGGTGCACACCTTTAATCCCAGCACTTGGGAGGCAGAGGCAGGTGGATCTCAGTGAGTTCAAGGCCAGCCTGGTGTACAAAAGAGAGTTCCAGGACAAACCCTGACTTGCAAAACAAACAAAACAAACAAACAAACAAAAAGTAGATTGGAAGAAATAATCAAACTCAGGTTGAAATCAACAAAATAAAAATAAAAAAAAATACAAAGAATCATAAAGCGAAGAGTTGGTTCTTGAATAAAAACAACAAACTTTTAGCTAACCTGGTCTATGTAGCAAGTTTCAGGACAGCCGAGCTACATGGTGAGACCCTGTCTAAAAACAAACAAACAAACAAAACAAAAAAACCCACTTCATGTATTGAGATTACATAAATCAAAGCATGTAAAAGCAGCTGTCACACAGTAAATGTTCAATAAAAGAAATGTTTGGTTACTACCAAGAGGTCATACCCACAGGGCATTCTGTAATGAGAAATGAGTAATCATGAAATGTGATTGTGTTCTAGGCATATAGTACCTTGAGGGGAAAAAAAAATACTCGCTTCGATTCTAGACTTCAGACTACCACGATAACTATGTAAGTGCTAGCTTTGCAATTTACAAAACTTCTAGTCACTGAAGTCATCTGGATTCCTTGGGTCTTTAACTTAAAGGGGAAGAGGGATACCAAAGGGGTTTGGCACATGGGCCCTCACCACCACCACCACCACCACCTCCACCACCACCACCACCACCAAGTGGCTCCCTGACCTTCCTAAGTGGCCTGTGGACTTGCCGTGTATCTCTAAGGATTGAAAACCAAAAGTAAACTATACGATTGTGGAGGCCTCATTTGGGTTATTAAATATCGCACCATCAGGGTCAAGCATTGATTGCCAGTCATTTATTAACACGGCGGTCAAGAAAAATATATGTACATTATTACAACTAAAAATCTTGTTGTATCATTATTATCAGAAATAGCTGGCGCGCCTTTGCACCCCTAAGACTGGGTAAACCGGGAACAGCAAGCTTGAGAAAAGCCTCAGTTTCCGCAGTGTCTGGTTGCGCACAGGGTAACCCGCCCAAGCTCCGCCCAAGCTCCTTCCGGTCTTCCGCAGAGTGCCACACAGAGAGTGGTCCCCCAAGCCTTTTCCGATGTCCCTGCTTCTCTTCATTCCCGCCCTGTCATGACTCCTAATCTTGGTGAAGGC